ATAAGCTTACACAACTGGAGTATACACAAACAGTATTGAAGCAATGTAATCGAGGCTTAGAGCGTTTTTGCGACCTTATCATGGCTCCAGAGATCAACTATTATGGAGCCATATGGATGAGTTCCTCTACCGTATGAATCACAATTTTAGAACCCTTTTCTAACCTTGACAAGTTTTTGGACCATGCAGAAGGAGTGTACCACTCTAATTCTTTGGTTTTGTATAATATATTTTTACTCTATAATAATTGTTTCCTGATTAGCTAATATATCTCAACGTCACATTAGATTCGTTCAAAGATCATCCATAAATTATAGTCTCACCAAATTTCTTCGTTGAATTCTCTCTACTTTTAACTGTCTACTGGAAATAATACTTGCTTGTGAAAACTGGAAAAAAAGGTTGTTAAAAAAAACCTAAAAAGTTCTTCCAAACGGACAAGGTTTTATTCAATATGACAATCATCAAGGCATATATAAATGTTTTTGACGTGTAATAGGTGACACCAAAACTGAGATTTGATATTGGTCGAGGAATGAAGAAACTTGTAGGACTAAGATTGAGTCGTTTGGAGCCGTTGGAACGCCATGCCAATGTAATAAGTATTCAAAATAGTCATACTCATCGTGGGTACTGAAGAGAGTAGGACACTAAAAAATAAGGGGTTGATGGTACCACAATGATATTTAGAATGTTCGACTTGGGTACTCTAAATGCCAGGATTTCGTGAGCCACTAGTCGGTACAGTTAGAGTAAGCGAAGATAGTGCCAACATTATTTCTCAGTTGTGCTTTTCTTTTGTTTCAAATTATACTACTTATAAACCATCAGTAGTTTGAGTCCTTTCGAATGATTTCTTCAGACTGTTAACTGTACAGAGCGATAAGACATTATATAGGAATAATATATATTTGTAAAATCTCAGCGAATGGATTTGTAGTAAATCCTCGGGGCTCAAATACCTTGAAACTATTCGCTCTCATTTAGACGAGAGTTCTTATATGTACAGAGCGATACTTCCTAGTTTTAACTAATCGCTTATCTAATTCTCATATGCTCCTAATACACCGTTTATTTCTCTTCATTTATATTCCATACATACATACTTTTTAGAACTTTGTCTACTGAGCATCTGAACTATTTTTAAAATGTTAAATCAAATTTATTTTCATTAGTTTGTAATATCGTCGCTTGACATCATTATGCAAACAAAAATCTAGCCTATAACATATGCGCTGCAACAAATTCAATTATGGGTAGTAACTACGCTCTCTCCTATGCAATGTTGAAAAAGAAGTTTTGAAGGCCATTTTGGGAAAAAACTAATATGCTTGTCTGCTAACGTTTAATCCACACAAGTAACTAAGAAAACATTAATTGATTCGTTAACAGCTAATTCCATCCCTTAAAAGTACGTAGTAAGGCACTTCTTATTCTTGAGGTATCACATCATACTTTGTTGATTGGAAAAATGTAGCTACATTTCCAAGGTTATGGGAAACAGTCATAAAATACTGTTCTTGCCTCAAGGGCCAGAATATCTAGCAAATAATTCATGTGGGTTTGAGAAAAAACGCAGACAATTATTGTTGTATTACAAGAAACAAATACTCCGAAGTACTTAAAGACATTATTTAATCTCATTGTCATCTTGAGCACCGAGACCGAAAATGGCTTAAAAAAGAAGTGTCGTTTTATTGTACAATGATGTGAAGGTAAAACTTCAAGTTATGTTGTTCACAAAATCAATTCTCATCGAATTCAATCGCTCTAACTAAACAATCTTCTTTGAGATTGGTTGATGCAAGAGAATGAGTTTAATTGTAATTATATATATGCGTGGCATAAGAATACCAGTAAGGGAATTATATATGTCAAGCAGGGATTCATTACAACACTGAATATTTTAGCCTGTTCAAGTTACCTCTGATTACCCACTGAAATTCAATATGAAGTCAAACAATGGAATTAATATCAAGCTGCTTTTAAGGTGTAAATATAAAGACAATTCACTGAATTAAGACTGGAACAATAAAAAACAGCATACAATTCAACAGGATTAAATTATAATGAATTGCCCATACTTTTTTCTAAACATATGTTTTAATTAATTTTATAACTAATGATAATGACCTTAGTTACATGTATTGCTAAAAATTGACTCCCATTTGAACTAGTTACCTTAGTTACTCTCTCTATAGACTTTGTCGTAAAATTTCATATTCACTATAATTTCATTGATGAGTAGTTAATTAAGAACAATAAGTTTATTTAGCAGTAAATAGTCTTTCCAATATAATTTAATTGATGTTAAACATTATCAGTTTATAGACTCATTTAGTCATGTTCATCAAAAAGCAAAATACTTCTATCCAGTCAAAGTCTAAGAACTTAAGAAAATATCTGCGAATAACAATTATTCAGTAGTGTTCGCTGAATATCACGTCATCAGAGTGAATAAATTCATCAGTAATTAACTTATAAAACTAAATTCTCCTCATATTCATCAACATTATCATCTCAGGTCGTAAATCAATAATATTGCTGCAATTTTAAAAATAAACTTTTATTTTATTTAAACACATAAATAATGGTACAAGGGGATACCAGTGGAGCAGGCAGTGCAGCATCGTAAGAAGATGCAGTCAAATGGTAGCCGTAGACCAACAATTGATTCATACGCCATTTGTTCTCTCAGGATAATGGAGCCCATGTGCACCATTGGTTTGGAATCAGGGTTTTTCAACTACTCTAGGTGAACTTTCCGTGTCCACCAACCCGGGTAAAGTGACGGACATTCGCTTTTCATCCTCTCAATTTCGTAAACAACACATGTGACACGAGAAGGTAGTGAGTAGGACTTCTCTGGCAGATGCTATATACGCGTGGCCATGTGAGAGCATTTCGAGAGGGAGAGCAGACTCTCTCCACTCTCAGCCGTACCAGGGCATTCGGGAGCTAGAATTTTAAGTAATATTGATAAAAAACAACCATTTATGGTCTTGCTGATTGATTTACAATTTTCCTTGATTGAGAATGATAAATTTCGGAGAAAAAACAGTTAAGCACATCGAGATCAATGGGCGACAGCGCTACTGAGTCAAATTTTTACTTTCTTATCCAATCGTGTTAAAATTGACTTTAAATGAAAATTTATCTTATAGAACACTAGTCATGCATAGTAGTTGATATTAAGGTGGAATACACATAATACATAAACATATTTCCAGAACCTGTAATAACTATTTCAGGACAAGATAAAATAATGCTTTATTTCAGTTATATTTGGCATGTGGTTAGCAGTAGAATCTAGGACGCAGCGTACGTCTTACGTAGTCAGCTGGATTATATTTGCATCCTAATGTTGATGTTTATGATCAGACACGAACATACCACTAGTGAAATACAAAAAACTTGTAACACAACGCTATTTTGAGGCGATCCGCTCAGGGTGCACAGATAGCAACCAAGGGTAATCGGTTTTAGTTCAGAATACAGAAATGACATTTTCTATTTCATCAGCTAATTTTGATAAATACTTATTGCACAAAATACTTAATGAACATTTAAATTCATTAATGAAATGTATACAATGATTGTTAATTATGCTGTCTGAAATACTTTGGGCTATCAAACTGATGTATATACATAAGAGTGAAGGCCGAAGTTATACAAAAGTTTAATTATTATTTGTTCTGTAAATTATTGATCGCACCACTAAACTGCAGACTCAAACCCAACTCCGACCACTTTAATTCTACCAGTCAGGTAGTAAATAAAACAAATAAAGACAAATAAAACTGGATGTGAATAAATCCGTACTTAGTTAAGGGGTTAGTTTACAGTAGAACCAAAAATGAGCATTTTTATTGAAGTACGGTTCGATGGTCTGTAGGTTAAGCTATAGCGTGCTGGGTTCGATATGCCGTTGTGGGTGAGTACTGCTGATAAGTCCCACAATAGGATGAAACGTTCGTCCAATGTTTGCAGGTTTTCAATTATTGTTTAACTTAAATCGATCTATAAACAAAATAATATTTTCATTCAGCTAGTGGAACATCGTATCAACTACCTGGAAGATGTCTAACATTTGAAAGTAGTTTTTGTTCAACCTTATTATTATTACTATTCCCAAAGCTCGTGAAGAGCAGACTAGAGAAAACCAGGCTGGTTTTCCACCTGGACGTGGTTGTATAGACCAGATATTCACTCTACGTCAGGTCCTAGAACACAGACACACATTCAGACGTCCCACAATCGTAGTATTTCTTGACCTTAAAGCGGCATTTGACTCAGTTGATCGTGAGGTTCTTTGGCAGTGTTTGTCTTTGAAAGGAGTATCAAAGAAGTACATTAACCTTATAATAGTATTCGATCATAGGTGTCTTCGAAACATTGCTCGTATATCCTGGGACCACCGGGTAAGTAATGCGGTTGTTAGAAAACGGGTACTAGGTAAGGATGGCAAATCGATTGATGAAGTAGTGAAACTTCATCACTTGAGATGGATGGGACACGTAATACGTATGCCCAACCATCGACTGCCCCAACGTGCAATGTTTTATGGTGTAGGAGTAGGTTGGAAGAAAGCTAGGGACGGCCAGACCAAAACGTGGCACCAATCTATGAAGTCACTGACAATTGGACTGAGCCATGTTGGTAGGTGTAGACTACCTAGTTGGGACTCGCGAAATGATATCAATCGAAGGTTAGAGACCTTAAATGACATGGCTCAAAATCGTTTGCAATGGAGAAGGTGCATCCACTCTTTGTGTTCTACGAAATTCTAATCTTCTGAATTCTTCATGTCCCTATCTTTTTTCTCTTTTCAAATTTATTTCACTGTATTATACTCCTTTATTAACATCTTCAAACCCTAATGTTTCACATAATGCTTATACTCTTACTACTTCTACCGCTATGGGATTTGAATCGACAACTTCATCTCTGTGCTAATGTGGTATGGCAACTTGAACTGATGTACGTACGTACGAAGTTCCACGTTGTGACTGACTGACTGACTATTATTATTCAAGTACTGTAAAAGCACTTATTACAATATTTTATTCTAACTTTACCTTCATATCAAATCACAATTAGACTCGTTCATACATAATGTTTTTCACCTCACCAGTTAATAGTGAATAACCAATTTGAAATAATCAAAAAACCCGTTGTATAACATAGAGTCTAGTTAAAAAACGAACAGTTTAGTACAATTTTCATTGAAGAAGAACTATTATTTCCATAAAAGTTCAATTAAAAATGGTATAAAATCACTAAGACAAACAAACAAAGTACTATAAACCAACAAAAAAAAAACCTTTTTTTTTTGAAGATTAGGAAGTTGAACTTCACTTCATAATGAGCATTACTTCTTTATTGAATATTATCAAATACTAAAGTAGATTCACATTTTACAAGCATCATCACATTCTTCTGATAAAACCGTAGCAAATTCTGGTACATCTTTCGGATTAATTTTTAAAACATTAATAATTTGCTTATAATCAGGATGATTTACAACTTCTTTTTGTTCAAAATGATAAAGGACTTTACCACCTTGTATATAATAGAAGAAAACAAAACCGAAGTAACATATACTATATACTTTATCAAATGATCAAATGATAACTATTTTACGTAAACATATAATTTTTTTTTTAAAAACACATTGTTGTAAGCCTAATCTATGGCAGATTCGAATATGAAGCATACAAGTTCACATCGAGATAATTATTGTTCACCATTAACTAAACAGATATTTGATAATTAATATTTCCAAATTTACTTAGTATTGCACAAGCAAGTGGCTATCAAGACTTAGTGGCCGAGTGGATAACGAGATGATGTTTAAAGTGTAAGGTATTGGGTTCGAGTCCCAGAGTGAACATTAACTCTGAGATGCAGGTACATCTAGTTGACCAGTCCAAGATAGGATGAAACGCGCGTCAAACTGGATTCCACTGCTAACCACTATCCATCTTTGCTTAACATTTACAAAGTTTATTTAGTTCATGAAAACAAAACAATTGTCCTACTTCATAAAGGTATGTATTGAAATTCCTGAGCTAAACTGTGAACCTACCCACGACGAATTAATTGATACGAATGTGCATTGAATATGCTAGATCGTAGTCTATTTAAACATATTAAATTCTCGATATAGTAGTATTGCATATGATCAAACCATCATGTTGTGTCTAACCAAGAAATTAATGATTCCTTGATTGAATTGTATAAAGAAATACAAGCTACTTGTTAAGAGTCATCTAAATGTTGGGAATTATAAAATAAAGATGATGCATTGGATACTTGAAGAATGTAATCAAAATTTCACTGAATTCATGAATATCATATTTATATGGTAAATATCTCTGTTTCCTTTTTCCCTTTTTATTTATAGTGTATCTTATTCATAAAAAACAAATAAGAAACATGTAAATAACTCAATTTTATAATCCTTAAATAAGTAGATTACATGGATTAAACAGTTGGATCAGTAATTACTTTATTTTTTCAAGGTCACATTTGTACCATATGACAAAAACCACATTATATAAGTGTAACTAAGGTTAAGATCGATGGAAAGATTCAAACAAACAATACTAAGTTGAATTTAAGGTTAAGATAGTTACAAGAATCATGTGAATAGCAAATGTATGAATTGATCATATATAATAATAAAGTAGCTAAAAAAAAATCCTTCTAAGTAAGTATTACACACATAATGTATGAAACATTTTCTTTACTATGGTAAAACAACAGTTCCCCATTTACAATGAGTATATAGCACAAATACATCCATATACCCTTTGGAAATGAGACAATTTCTTATTCTTTTTATACGATGTTAATTTTCTCTCTTCTTTATTGATTTATTTACTTGAACCTTCATTTAATTAACCTTTATAAATATTCATGGGTATTTACTTTTATTGTTCAATTATATATTTATCATTACGGGGTTGTGGAGATTGTTAGGCTTTTTGATTGAGATTATTATTATTATTATTATTATTAATAATGGCTTTATTCAATATTAGAATCTGGTACAATATAGAATTCTCAGCACGAGTTATTTCAACAAGTTTTTTTTACCAAAAAACAAAACCAAAAAAAAACAAAAAAAAACAGAAAAGGAATGAAAAAGGTTTAAGAAAAACTGAGTTTATACAAATTATCGAATTTCAGACATGCTTTAGAATACAGGTTATTTACTAGGTCAACTCTAACAGCCTGTTCGTCACAAAGTAAATTTGCAAGGTAAGGTATTACAGAACTTTTATAGATTTGCTTGCGTGTATGGATTTTCATGTATTTACGTCTCGTTCTACCAGAAGATATACAAGGAGAAAGATATGAATGAAGCGGATGGTTAGTATCTGATAAGATAAAACCTGCCAAGAGTTTGCAAGACTTAAGATGTCTATCCACAAGCATATTAATAATGACTTCAAAAGATTCACCACATGCCTTGCAAACCGCCTTCAACACTCTACGCAAAACAGCAAAGTCTTTTCTCAAAAGCCCAGGAAAGAATAATGGAGAACAATATAGAATAATAGGTAATATGCAGGAATTTACAAATTGTAAGAGTAAATGGCGAGTAATCCCAAAAGCATGCAGCCTCTTTATGTAGTATGTCAAACGGTAAACTTTTTTCGATAAGAGTAAAACATGAGAAGACCAATAAAGATCAGAGGAAAAAGTAGCACCAAGATATTTGACCTTCGACACTGTGTTTATTAAGGAGTTTCCAAAGGCACAAGCATTATGGAATCCCAACATAGAGTATACGTTCTGTCCATGTCTCAAGCTAAAATTAACAGCTTGACATTTAGATGGATTGAGTAAGAGACCATTACCAACAGACCACCTTTCAATACGAAATAAAAACTCATTCATTTCTATAGGATGTAAGGAGGTAGAAATCGGCATACATACAGTGAGGTCGTCCGCATATTTTACAAAAGTGTTTTCTGTGGAAGATGGCAGATCATGCAAGAAGAAAGAGAAGAGCAGAGGTGAAAGAACAGCTCCTTGTGGCACACCTACAGTAGACAGTAGAGATGTTCAACACTTTCCTTCAAAGACAGTGTACTGTTCTCTACCAGAAAGGTAGGAACATAGCCAATTGGTTATCCAGCTGTCAGTATCGACGCTGATCAGCTTGTTAAGTAAGAGGTGTCTTGGAATAGAATCAAAAGCAGAAGTAAAGTCCAGAAAAGCGCATCTAACATACTTCTTACCCTTTTCCAACCCGAACACTATATTGTGATGCGGAACAGCAACGGCATCTAATGTGCTTCTTTTGCATTTGTAAGCAAACTGAAATGGATCACAGTGCTCTTTTATCACAGGTTGAAGTGATTGTATCAGTAATTTTTCCATTATTTTGAGGAAAGGTGGGGTTATTGCTATGGGTCTAAGTTTCGCATTTTTATCACCAGAAGCTTTCTTAGGTATAGGGATTACTTTTATCTTTCTCCACATTTTAGGTAAGACATTAGTTGAGAAGGATCTGTTAAAGATATTCGTTAATGGATAACATAAAACATCAGCACATTTTTTTAAAAAGGAGGTTTGGGATACCATCAGGTCCTAAACATTGGGATGAATTCAGAGACTGGAGACATTTCCGGACATCATTTTCAGTGAAACTGGGGACACAATTATTCTTCAAACCCTTGGATATAGGGAGCATGATGTCAGATGACTGATGAATAAAGGACTTATTTAAGTCATAAACATTTAGCTGGTTATCGCTTCTAGTCTGCCTGTCCCCTGTAATTTCTTTAAAGAGTTTCCACATACTTGGAGAGCTTCTACAAGATAGGGGTTTTTGAGTGAACACACAATTGAGACGTCTAATCTCTTGGTTTATTTGATCATTTAACTTACGAAATTCAATAGTATTTTTCTCCTTGTACATCCTTTCTTTTACCCTCCGTAGTCGTTTTAGTCGTGGAGATGTAAGTCGATCAAAACTTAAAAAGAAGGTTTCGGTAGGACAGCAAATATCAAGACAGAATTTAAGATAAGAGGTGATAACATCCGTTGTGTTTTCTATTGAGTCATCTGTAAGTACTTCCCAGTTGGTCGTACGAAACATGTTTTTTAGATTTCGTAAATTTTCTTCTGAGTAATTCCTGTATATTACTTTTTTGGTATGGTGTATGTGTGTACTCTTTCCATGTTTACCATATACTTTAGGTAAGACACGAATTATACAGTGATCCGAACTAGACAATGGAGCACGTTTGCGAGTCACATATGTACCCACATCATTAATGAAAACCAAGTCTAGATGAGCATTCAAACGAGTAGGAAAATCTACTACATTTAGGTGACCTAGTGATGTAAGGAAGCTACAGTCATCTGAATTGAGATCACCACATACAATTGAAAGTGAATCACTGAAGGCAGTAACGGTGAATTCAGTAAATTTATCAGTGAAGACAGATAGCGCAGATGATGTGCAGTCTGGAGTCATGTAGATATTGGTAACATAAATATATTTGTATTTATTCAGGTGTTTTGGACGGCACCTTAAAGTTAGACAGTCAATAAAGTCGTTTGAAAACTTGAAACAGGCAAAAGTAGATCGACATCAGTTAACGTTTACAAAAGTAGCTACTCCGCCACCACAAGTCTTTTTATTGTTTGATCGATCCTGACGATAGATATTAAAATCACGTAATGACACTAAACAATCATCCTGTAAGTCAGTTAACCAAGATTCTTGAATTGTGATGACACCACAATTACGATACATGTTTTGACTTAGCAGAAATTGGAGATAGTCCACCTTGTTAATTAGTGATCGACAGTTAGAGTTAAGTAGCTCGGGAATCGACATTTGATTGATGTTTATTCTCTTTAAAGCATATTGCCAACCATCACGATGTCTCTTATTGTGTTTGTTTGTAATTTTTGCAGCGAAAGGACATAAGCATTTTATAAACGCGCTTGTGTAGGTTATGCGATTAACAGACATAATGATAGGTTAAAACAAATTAAAAAAATCCAGATAACTTGTTGAAATATTTAGATGGCAGAAACAGGTAGCCCAGGTATTCAAGCAGGCCGCCGTGATCAAGAATCGATTGATGTTGGACCATCATTGAAAACCCGAAAGCACTTGACGGCCATTTCATTCTAATATGGGACAACTCAGAAGTGCGCATCCACGATCCCACATGTGTGACTCGAACCCAAGACTTTTGATAACACGCGCGAACACTTAACCTCTAGACCACTGAGTTGACATCCAACGGTACTAATGTCTAAATCCAATCAGTCCTCCATTTGCTCACCAGTGACTAGTTTCGTGAAGGAATTCTCGGAGTTCTAGTGAAAAGCCGTGACCAGCGGAGCTAATCCGTGTCGGGTAGAGACAGATATCTACCTTAGACAATGGAAGATAGTGGCGCGAATTGGTGGATTGATTGAAGTTAGACATTAGCACCGTTGGATGTCAACTCAGTGGTCTAGAGGTTAAGTGTTCGCGCGTGAGACCAAAAGTTTTGGGTTCGAGTCATACATGTGGGATCGTGGATGAGCACTTCTGAGTTTTCTCATATTAGGATGAAATGGCTGTCAAGTGCTTCCGGGTTTTCAATGATGGTCCAACATCAATCGACTTGTGATTTCAATAAAAAAAATTATGTATTTTTAAGCAGTGATTATTGTTAGCTTGTGGTGGTCGATATTCCATAATATCCTTAAGCTTCGTATATTGTTCGTCCTGGTAACAGTTACTCGATAACGCCCCAACGGTGCACCAATCAGAAGGCGAATACGAAGTGTTGAGTGCGTTTATTATTGAACCACGCACAGATATCCAAAACTACAGGCACGTTAAGCAAGGATGAAAAAGTAGTGCCGTAAAGCAAGCGAGTGAGTGTGAGAGTCGAATGAGCGATGGAGTCAATAAACGAGTGTGTGGGTAAGCGAGTTAGCGAGTCAGTGAACAGGATTAAGATGTACATATATATGCAAAGTGAAATGAATGAATCATCGAATCAATTAAGCGATTAATAGTAAGGCTAGCAAAATGAATATATGCGTAGGCAGTAAACAATTCTAGAACGTACATAATAAAGGTACAATGGTACAGATAGGTTGTTGTTGTAAGAATGACTCTATCCGTTAAATAAGTTAACAAAACGGCTTAACCAAATTATATATGAACAAAGTCAACTGTACGTGAGCTGCTATAAGCTATTTTAAAAGCACTTTCTAGTTATAAGAATAGAAATCAGACCACTGGTTGATGAAGTCATTGACAGTTATTCTGAGTTATATCAAATACTATATATTTAAGCACAAACATTGGTACAAGGAGGTACCAAACACACATGTGCCACACAAATCATTCAATTTGTGTGAGGGCTGGGATACTGCTCGGGTGCCCAAACCAAAACAGGTGGTTTCTTTAGAGGGCCACACCGCGAGCCTCCGACCTAGAGGTCTAATCCATAGGGCAATGAAGCAACGTCACAAGATGCAGTATCATGGTAACCAGTGTCCAACAATAGGTTCACATACCTTTTGTTCCTTCAGGATACTGGAGTCCATGTGCACCATTGTTTTGGAATTAGAGTTTTGCGACTTCTCTGGGTGGATCTTCCGTATCCACCAACCCGGTTAAAGCGCCGGATATTCACTTTTCGTCCTCTCAATTTCGTAAACAACACCCCCGCCGCGAGAAGGAATTGAGTAGGACTTCCCTGACAGTGGCTGTATCCACATGGCCATGTGAGAGCGTTTCAAGAGGGAGAGTTAACTCTTCCCACAGTCGGTCATACCAGGGCATTTGGGGGCAATTACATCAAATAGATGACAGTGATCGGTATATACTGAAAAAGTTAAAGATGTTATCTATGTGATTAGCTTTTAAGTATGCGATGTAAGGGCCACAGCTTCAAATAAATTATGAAACGTTATGTTTGTAAAAACTTATTTCTTGGTAAGTAATTTCTAATTAATAATTGTCGGTTAGCAGAAAATTTAAAAGTGTAGGGATTTTGGTTGATTGCTTTAAAGTTCCTAATATTTCAATATAATTGTATTTGTTATGTAGTTAGAAGGGGTCAACAAAAAATCTTGGATATAAGGTTACGGAAAATTGGTGTTCGTTAGCAATGTACACCTAGAATCCTGAGGGGACTGATGCTCTTTTTGGAATAAGAACTTGTGTTATCCAGTTTTACAGTTTGAGGCGTTACTACTGAGCTATCCGCGAAGCGGACTGACTTACTGTGGGAATAAACTATGGGTTTTTACTTGAAACATGACATTAGAAATAAAGTGAATGTACTTTTCACATAGAAATAGAAATAAACATGATCCAATCACAATTACAAACCTTTTTCGACTACAAGAAGTCCACCAGTTTGCCAACCATCTCCAGACATATTACCAGGTATATTAGCAGCCTAATAAAAAAAGAATAAAAAATGACGATTATTATTATTATATGTAGTGTTATCAATGACTGTATTGTTTATTAGTAGTTAAAAACATTGCTTAATATTAATTTTTTCATATTTTTAATTAAGTGCATATTTAGTAAAGGGTTTCGTGGAGATTGTAGAATCTGAACAGTTTAAATCCACAAACTGACATTAGCTATACCACTATTAAAAAAGAGGAAGCATTTGACAGCTGTTTTGTTTTAGTGAAAGACACCTCAATGGTCAAGATGTTAAGCGTTCGCATCAGAGGCCAGAAGTTGTGGGGTCGATTGCCAGGGACAACCGTTTTCCCTAAATGTACTGCGCAAGGCGTTTAGCTCTTCTTCAACTATATCCGTAGAACATATAGTACGCATTCGATAACTAAGAGTTCTGATTAGGTTTCTTTTGTACAGTAATGGTACAAAGCTAAAAAAATGTATATTATCTTGTCCAGGTAGTTTTCCTATTTAAATGCCTTCTTATTGATCCATCGGTTTTTTTTTGTTAATAGAATGTCCAAAAAGGCTATTCTATTTTGACTTTCTTCTTCAGATGTAAACTTAATGTTTAGGTGTCCCTCTACTTATGATGTACTATCGTTACAGAGGATGAACGTGTTATTCATATAATGCCAGTAAAATTTGAATATTTGAATAAGATTTTTAAGTGGAGCATTTTGTAGTTGAGCTAGAAAAATGTCAGCTAGTATTGGACCCAATGGTGGATAACAGATCAGACTTTGATTAAAATGGATTTATCACTGATTAGCTAATTGACTCACATTATTAAACTAACTGAATAAATGCCATGAGGTCATGATCCCATAATCAAACAAATATAACATGTTCAACCCCAATTATTCCAACACTAATAAACAGAATGTTTATGTAAAGACAAGTCGGCAAGGAAAACTCTCTTTTTGACCAAGCTGCATACAATTGTATTTATCGTTAATTTACAAATAAAATAGTCTATTGGAAAATAAGGAGGATGGTTATATCATATGAATAAGTAAATTAAGATCAGAAAGATTAGAAGGATGGAACAAAATCAAATTACCATTTATGAAAATTAAGTTAACATAAATTCAGAGGCTGAATAAAATTTTTTCTAAATACAAAAATTAGTATCAGAAGGGGTTTTGTGGAGATTTCAGTATTTTTTTCGTAGTTGAAATCATGAGGCTAGACCACCATGGAAAACCTGGAAGCAGTGGACGGCCGTTTCGTCCTGTTATGGGACTTCTCAGCAGTGCGTATTTACAAAGATTAGATTTTTTTGATATGTGTTCCAACAGTTTCTGTTGTGTGCATGAGTTTGGTTCTGAAGAATAAGTTTCTTGTATACTTGATTTAATTAGTCAACAGACTTTAACATACGCAAAAAGATAAATTACTAAACGAAAGCGATTGTTATCGATGATATGATGAAGTAAGAATTAGGTCTGGTATTAAGTCATTAATTCCAGTGAAAATTGAATGATCTATAGTTATCTTTAACCTCTAATCGTTTATTTATTAACAAAAATCTTTCAAACAAGTTCATTCGTTTGTGTTCTAGATTTTGTATATAAACGTATTAGTTTGTTAAAAGTGTGAGGATGGTCCACAGGTGAAGTCGAGGAAGCTCTAAGAAGCCCAAAAGAAGCCGGATATATTCCATCCAATCAGCTTTGGGAAGAATATTCTAGAATCACTACGTGTAGCTCTCCTGTTGAACAATGCTGTTAACTCCCTATGTGCGGATTGGATAACTATAATGATGATTTTGTTTCTACTAAAAACTATAAATGCCTGACAATTTTGTACCACAATCGACACTGTTTAGAATAATATTCCTTCTACTTGTCTTCTGTCTTCTGATTTGTGACTTGGGAGGGTTTTGGCGTTCGAGTGCTCAAGTATTAAGCGACAGATTAGGAAATCTAAGTTCGAGATATAACAAAAAGAAAAAACTTATTCTGCCGGACAGTTAACTGTCTTGTTTTCTGATATCAGTTCAATTAGAAGATTTACATTAATGTTAATGGTAGTTCTTATTCCTGTAATATTAAATAAGATGCATCCTAAATATAGGTCTTTATAAATTATGAATTTTAAGTAAAACTTTCACTTAGGTGGCAGTATGCTTCAGCACCGATATTCATACAATACTTTTTTAATAGTTCAACAAATTTAACCAACTGAATAAATACTGTAACTAATACTTATTGAATAATTCATATCTACGAACTAATTCTTCCTGTATTATATCTTTATACACAATCTCTCTTTTATATGTTACTGCCATTGAAGTAACTGCTTCCATGAATTTAGTATTCATCATGTTGTGTTAATGAAGTGCGACAACTTGGACCGATGCATATATGTGCCTGGTCCTGCGTTGCAGCTGACTGGCTGACTGATATTTTTCTTACATAACTTCTGTTCTATTTTATCGGTCGGTGGGTTATTATAGAAATGTTGGATATTGGTCGACCGGTTTATGTAGTTCTCATAGATCACTTTCTTTATTGAAGGGATCTCTGAATCGTTTTTAATTCAGTAATACGGGATCGAATTTTAGTTGACAACAATAATACAAGTAAGATAATACCTTGTATAATAAAGATTAAATATACAAAGCAACCTTGTATATACTACCATCACTTATCACTTTTTTAATTTAAATTTACACAGGTAAAACTTCAAACTTTAATCTTAACAAGTAATTTTCTAGAAATATTTACTGTCATATTTTACTATCTTGTGTCTAGGAGAGACAGTCGGTAATGTCATACAGCTAAAACGTATAGTGACAGTATTACATTTACATATGAAATCAAATTAGTTCTTCGTAAGCGTTAAGGTTGTTAAAATGATAATAAAAATTTAAAATTATTAATTAATGCAGTTGAATTCATGATTTGATCTAAGCTAGACCGCCACTGAAAACTAGGAAGCTCAGGACGGTCTTTTCATCTTAGTATGGGACGATTAAGAAGTGCGCATCCATGACCCCACACGTGGGACCCAAGACTTTCGATCTCGCACGTGAACGCTTAACCTCTAGACCACTGAGACGGCATCCAATGGTGTTAATGTCTTAGATTGACTCGTAAATTCAACAGTGGAAATAATACAATCTCTACAAATTCCCATACTGATAATAATTATTGATTGAGTCATATTGGAAAGAACTAGGGATTTTTTTGGTAGAACCACAATCAAACCATAGAAACATGTGACATAACTTTAAATTGATTATAACGATACCACTGGTTTAAATTCATATCTTAGTCAATTTTAATTTTATTCTTTATGTTATTTGCATCTACACAAATAAAAGGAAAATTGTACTTGATATTTTCTGGCGATTTAATGATTAAAGAAAACGCATATTACCTTTGCCTTTGAATTTAAAGAACGACCAGCTTTCGTCAGTAAAGAACAGAAACCAGAACAGGCGGAGACTTTTTTGTATTCTAAAGCTTTATATGTCTTACGTTCACGATCTAAATAAAGATCTACAATAATAATAAATAATGGTTTTAATAAAAAGTCAAATAATGAAGAAAATTGAATGACATAGTCATGAATACTTTTCTAAAGATTATAATAAATAGAACAATAATAATAATAGTAATAATAATAATTATTATTATCAGAGCGAAACTGGACACATCTGTTAACAATAGACCATTCACTTTATATGACTATTTAATCGCATCCCGAATATGCAAGCATATTCGGGATGGCTAAATTTCAACTCGATCGATGATAATCGAAAAGCAATAGGGACTAAAGAAATATAACACCGGTCACAACTTAATGAGCAATCAATCTAACTATCCTTCCCTCCTGCTTGATTGAACACTTTGATATAGTGATAAAAAGTAAATTACTACTGAAAACATAAGCTGAGCTCCCACTTTATGTAATGAATTATATAACTTTATCACTAATTAATTCCAGAAATAAATATCAAAAGACAATTATATTACAAATTTGTGTTTATATAGTTATTCACCTCCATCAAAATAATGTCCATCTAAAAATTCTTTTACACCACCTTCATCGAATGTAATTCCCATTAATTTGATATTGCGTGCATCCAAAGCAGGTTTTAAGTAGCTCAAATTTTTAGCTTCCAGTCGGCAAAATTTACATCCCAAACGACGAAAGAATGTAATGATACATGTTTGATCCTTGGTATACGATAAATAAAAAAGAATGTCTTAACAAAAATAAACATATAGATAATGAAGCGTTCTCGCTATAGAAAGAACTGAACAATAACATAACGGTTTACCCACTCGAATCTTGAACAATTCGTTACAGATTCGAATCTAGTTTCTGACAACTATCTAGCATTACCAGACCTCATTTAAAAGTGTATATCAAAGCAGAGTACATGCATCTGGGATTGGTTCTACATTTGCAGAATGTTACCTACAAAGAATAATCCCAACGCTCAATGAATAAAAGATAATTAGTAAGAATTAGAAATAGGATTTTCGCTCATTAACAAATCGAAAATAGGCAGACAGGTGTAACCACCATATTAAACAATAAGAAAGTCAAAGAAGTGGAAATAACGGTATAAAGCTAAACAGGAAAAAAGAGGATTGACATAAATGAAACTGGAAAATGAAAATATGGTAAGATTTAAGGAAAAATCACGTACTCGAGCCATTCCAACCGATATTGACACATACTATCTGCAGTCTTTGACCAACATAAGAGCAAAATTAGGAGTCAAACAAGGTTTATGAATAAACGGACTACCCATACTAATTTGTATCATAGTTATTTAACATTAAATAATTCAGTAGTGGCCACATAGTAATCCCATATAATTTTCTATTACCTAGCTGCTGTAATTTAGACAATTAACCCACTATGTAAAAGCATATGTGAGTCTGATTACAAGTATGTCTCTGATATGATGGGGTTAAAAAGCAAGATCATTAATACCCATTGAATTAGACAAATGCTCAAATGTATTCGTCAGAAATGATAGAGTACGACAGCCATCACAGATTCGTTACGACGATCCTTTTAAAATCATCCGAAAAGACAGTAAAACAGTTACAGTAAAAAGAGAAGGTAAACATGACAACATCGATGGAGTGAAACCGGTGTTTTAAGAAAGCACTAAAAAACAGACAACGATGAAGTCGCCTAAATCCACAGTAGAACGAGCACCAAAAAAACTACCTGCAATAAACGGTACTTAACACCGAAGTTCAGCAACAACAGAAACTACAACAAGATCAGGAAGAAGAGTACATTGGCCAGATAGGTATATGGTAACCCCCATATTTATCTAGACAAATTTTGAGATTATTCATATAACACGAAAATTCTCTTTTTGTATTAAGATCATTATTTTCACCTTCTTTATTGGCCCCACGGATTTTCATCATGTTTACACTCCAACTTCATATATATATATATATATATATATATATATATATATATATCCAACTCATAGCTGTCATTTAAATTTAACACCTAATCATCACACCGAGTTATACGTTTCTTTTACAAACACTTTTTTTATTTCTTTGTCCAACATTGAAGCTAAGAAAACACCACTGTTCTAAATGGGAGCTTATATCGTACTCCCATTGAATTTTTTATTACCTACCTACTGTAAATGTAGACAATTAACCCACTATGTAAGAGTATATATGAGTCTGATTGTAAGCTTGTCTTCACCCTAATCTTCGTTTACCCTCCCATCGGTTGTTAACACCGATAATCAATAACTTACTTACAATTGATTAACACCAACAAAAAAAATATGGACATCTTGACTTTTTGCATTTACACACTCACTCGCTTCCCAGTGTGGTTATCTTTTACCTGCTAGCTGATTTTATTAATTATTAACAAGACACTATCCCAACAACTGGTGTTCTGGCTTTTGAGTATTCTCCAGTAAAGTCATAGTACTTATTAGGAAAATTGACTTGCTAAAATACTCAGTGAACGTGATATCGTCTTTTGGAGTCAAATAGAGAATTAGCCTCTATAACCATTCTACCTTAAGATCAGTCTTATTACAACATTCAACAAATAAATTCGATTGCGATAAGTTTAAAGGCAATAAATTCCTAATCAGATAGAGAGATGGAGTGGTCCCAAATGAACTGTGGGAGTAGTTAAATGCTAAGTATGTGACTTACGAAATACCAAGATAATCTCAGAAAAATCAAAGTAAATATTTATTAAAACGACTTCAAGAAGGTACTTCCTAGGACTAGCTATCATACTCTTAGGTTACTAGGGCTTTAAAAAATGATACTGTTTCTCGTGTAAGTTACGTTTATTATCGACTTTGTCCCGCTCATTTCATTTTATTTAACATATTCAATTAGTACTAACAATCTTAGCTTACAAAATGTTATCCTAGATCTTCTAAAACCGGAATTCGAAGGATATGTTAAAAAGCTCAATGCTTAGATTCATCAAAGAGGCAAGATCGTAAAATAAGTCATCGTAGAGAAATACAAAACAAAAATCCAGTGAACAATGAGAAAAAGTTTAATTAGCTTCTATATACTCTTCCGTTACTCGCTGCTTTTCAGCAGGCTGAAATGAGTGACTGAGATTCGAGGTAGGTTACTAATAAGAGCTGATAAACTATATGTGGCTGTGCATTTTTGTCAACTCAGGTGGTCGCAACTGTAAAATATAAAGCCAGTTGGTGATAAAGTTGGTTGACCATTAGCCAATCTGTTGAAAAGTAGGATCAAAATAAGTCAGTCAGTCAGCTACAACGTAGGACCAGGCACATATATGCATCGGTCCAAGTTGCCATACCTCTTTAGCACAACAAGATGAACACCGGATTCATAGAAGTAATTAATTTAGTGGTGGTAGTATATAAGGAAAGGTTGTATATAAGGATATAGTACAGGAAGGAAGAGAGATATGAAGCAATTTTAATCTCAAGGTTTAAGGGAAGATAAAGAGTGTATACACCTACGCCATTGTGATCGATTCTGAGCCATGTCACCTAGAGTCTCCAACCATTTATTACGATAGTCACGCGGACCCCAACCAGGTAGTCTGCATCTGCCAACATGGCTCAGGCTAGAAGTTAGTGACTTCAAACACTGATGCCATGTTTTGGTTTGGCCATCCCTAACTCTCTTCCAACCGTCCCCTACACTAGTCATCATAGCGCGTCGTGGTAATCGGTGTTCAGGCATACGTAACACGTGGCCCAACCATCTCAGTCAATGAAGATTCATGACCTCATCAACTGATTTACCATCATTCCCTAAAACCCTGCGCCTAACCTCACTATTACTTACCCGGTTATCCCAGCAGATGCGAGCAATATTTCTAAGGCATCTGTGGTCAAATACTAGTAACCTACGAGTATCTTCTACTCTTAATGGCCGTGTTTCACAGCCGTAAAGTAGAACAGAGCGAACTGCTGCGCAGTATACTCGTCCCTTAATTGATAGACGGATATCTCGTCTTCGCCATAGGTGACGTAAGTTGGCAAAAGCCAAACGAGCTTTTCGAATCCGTGCTGAGATTTCGTCAGACACCAACCCATTAGGGCTGATCAGACTTCCAAGATAAGTGAAGTTGTCGATGCGTTCAACTACTTCACTCCCTATCCTTAGTTCAGGTGTTGACGCAGGCCAGTCCTGGAGTAACAATTTACATTTGGATGGGGAGAAACGCATCCCAAACATCCTGGCATTATTACTCAGTTCCAACAGAAGACTCTGCATTTTGTCAGCGTCTTCACCAAACAGGACTATGTCATCTGCGTATTCTAAGTCGCTTAGTGGTCCCCCTGGTAGAAGATCAATTCCTGAAAATTTTGTCGAAGAGAGTGTTATTTCCAGCAACAGGTCTATAATGAAGTTAAACAAAAATGGGGATAGTGGACAGCCTTGACGGACACAACTTGAGGTTGTAAAATCATATGACAGTTCGCCATAAGCTCTCATTCGACTGGTAGTTTTGGAGTAAAGAGCCTTCACAAGGTTTATGTTCTTCTCAGGTACACCTTTCAATGACAGACACTGCCACAAAACCTCTCGGTCTACAGAGTCAAATGCTGCTCTGTAGACCGAGAGGTTCTGTAGGATCAAAATACTATAAATCACGGCTCCAGCGGTGGAAGCATTCGAAAAACTAAGAAATACTACACGTTCAAAAACTGCTTGTTTGTCTAAATGCTCAAGAACCATTATAACTAGTGACAAATGAATTGAATGTGGTTATTAGAACAGCCATACAACAATACGTTAAGTGTAGGTGGCTGTACTTATTAGGCACTATGTTTCAATAGTCCCACAACATGTTTGGGTACATAATAACAATTTCCTAACCCTCCGTTTTGTTTCCTTACCCAACACTGCTTAAAAAACATCCAATTAGGAGTGTAAAGGCATTTCAGGATCCGATTGATGTTTTAAACTATAAAATCTTTGGAGTCAGGTCACCCTAAGTTTACCACTAAACAATTGGCAGCTTTGCTAGATGATGTAATCTTTAACTTCGACAGATTTTCTCAAAGGTTGCTTTGGAACGTATTAGGTATACTCAATAAACTTTTTACCTAAGCCTTAAGCACTTTTATAGACAAATATTTATAAAGTGAGAAATACTACTTGGACACAGAGCATATTTCACATTGAGATGAGTTTAAAAGCTAAATTATTAGTGGCATATTTTTAGTCGTGTACATAATAATCACGTTGGTTATACGAAACATACTGTTGCATAGAGTTTCTCATGCTATTACAGAAAATAAAGCTGTTAAATACTACATGCAAGTTCCTTTCATATAACGGGAAAAACTCTAAAGAAGTAGAATACTCAGAGATTAATAACTACCTAATTAGTAATATGAGATTAATAAAGTGAACGAAGCTGTGGTAGAAATTAAATTTGACATAATAAGTACAGAAAAAAAAGTTAAGAATGGTCAAAACAACAAATTCGCGACGGAAATAAATTATGAGTATGTGGGGCTAAAGATGGACGTGATGTTTAAACTCACTTTAACAAGTCTTAGTGTATTAGTGACATGGTTGATATCTACTAGCACTTTAATATATCTTTTTGCCCACGGAGGTGATAACACTCCAAGTTGGTGAGAGATTTCTGTCGACAGTTCTTACACACGTCCTCTGATGTAGTGACACATGTTACTGTACATAACCAAAGAACTAGAACAGTCATTTCGTTACATCTATGGATAACCTAAATTCCGATAGACAAGAATGTCTACTAGCCTTAGCGTACCATCGATATGATCTAGGGCGAAGAAATATTATTTGACGAGCTCCTTTTGAAATGTATCAGCCTACCAAACCTGGATAAGTTCTGAGGGTTTTTTTTAGCTGCATTTGACTTGAGATTCATAAGTTACTCAAATTTGCTGCCCACACCTTAAACTAATTCACGCAGCTACTACGTAAATGGTCTGGAGTATTACCAACTTATCGCGGTCTATAATCCAAATCTCCTTATGCTAATAGTAAAATGAAGCGAACCATCCAAAAAGAATGCAAGAAACGACTTTGAATACAATTTCTTTATCTTAAAATGAGGCTGGAACAACTATTAAAACGAAAAGTGGGTTTCGAAGCAAAGACTAATTTTGTCCCTACACGCTGGACACGCTCAAGCGATATAGTATCCTTTATCAGACAAGGGCTAGCTGCTTGGATACAGTATTCTAAGTGTGGCCTTACATAGGTGGGATATAAAATTCGAAACATCTGCTCGTCGAAGAATTTAAATGCTCTGCGAAGCGACCATAGCGCACGATAGCCTTTGGAAGCAACCGCATTGCAGTGAGCTACATATTTATGTCAGTATCGTAGCGAAAGAAACCCCATGAAATCATAACTACCGTGGTGCTTAAGTTGAAATTTTAGATTTGTTATAAAAGTAAGGCGATGTCTCGAAGATTGTATTCAATTTATAAATTTTCGTCTCAACATTTTAATGCTACTAAGTCCTAGTAAGGGTTTACAGCAAAGGCAGTCGTATAAATAAAGTTTATCCAAGATAAACAACAAGGCTCTGGTACTGTTCAGTTTTATTTAAAACAGAGTAAGACCAATAAGACTTAGATATTCATAAATATCGTCTGTACATTAGAAATCACGTTTAATAACTTACTCGCCAAAACGAGTCCAAAGTACATGTTTGAGAGCCCAAAGCAGAATGTACAATGCAAGTACCAACCTTCGAGAGTAAAGGAGATGTCATTGCGGCTCGGCTAATAGTTTCTAGATTGCTACCAATCAATAACGCACATTGAAAACAAAGAAAGAACTGACCGCGGTTGTCCTCTTCAAGGTCAATTTAACTACCAATCAAATTTTACCTTAGCCTTGTTTCAATTGGTGCATATTAACATCAGGCAATTGACCAATTTGTGTAGTTGGAAGACTGCATAAGAGCTTGAGGTTCAAGCTTTTGGGAATGGTTTATTTATCGATACACAGTTTTTTTGGAAGTAAAATTGAAAATCCATTGAATGAACACAATTTGAGCTCCAAACTACATAGAATCTGGTTTTTGATCAGATCCTTATCAGGCTTTACTCTAACTACAAGAATATATGTATTTTCAAATATGGAATTGTTAAACCAGTTAAAGCAACTTACGAGTCAGCCAGTCTGGGCCCACAATCAGTCAAGTGAGCCAACATCGTGTGAACACTTCCATAAGTGGTTGGGACAGGGGATCATCAAAACACTACACAACTCTGTTCAATTACACTTGATCGATGGCGTTCATGCATAAAACAGAAATAGGTTATTTAAGGTGAATTATCATATTACTACTAGTTTTCGATCTTGACTCTTACATATGTCAGCAGCCACTGGGATTCCAGCTAACAATCTAAGTCTTCGTATTCACATAAAATTTACAACACTCTTACCCTTTCCTTTGCAAAATAAACCTTAATACAAGTTTCTATCCATTAGTACTTTTTTACTTTGTTCGTTCAAATTTCTTCACCCTTATTTTTTTCAAATATGCGCTTAACTGACCAATTATCTTGTAGGGGCAGTGAAATGTGACGAAGTCATAGCCAAATCATTCGGCAGTTGGGTCACTGAATATCGAGGAGATCATCGATCCCTGTCAAAGTCAAGGACAACCAACTCGCGTCGGTTAATCATACGCTATGAACTGGCCTATGCGTTGATGGTCTCACTAACTTCTCTTTACTCATTCTTACCAATATATTTACGTAATAACGTCCTTTGTGTCACATGGTCTTCAAAGCAGGCATTGTACTGTAACACGTCGAAGGGGTAATTCACGTTAGATGCTGACCGCGAGGTGTGATTTCAAAGTTAGATGGTTCGTCACACCATTGTCGTCTAACTCCAGTAGGCCTCCAATCATTCGACAGAGATCATCGTTGTTTATGATCTATAATCTGAATACTTCTAATAATGTAGTATTATAATTTTTAACGAATGTTATTTCATGGTCTATATTTTTAAGTAATGGACTTAATTCCTATTACGAAATATTCATTCAAGCTCTTCTTACTCTTATTACAACTGGTACACCTATCATCACACTACCAATTTTTACATTTTTCACAAGTTTTCTTTATACAATCCATCTCAGTGTTATCATTGATTCATGAACTGCCTTGATTGTTTTACTGATTTAGTATATGTATATAAATCTCACTGTATATTACAGCAAAGCCTTATGAGGATCTAATTGAAAACAATATTGTTCTCAGTCACAATATTGGGATTTTTATTATATTAAATCTTATCTAATGAACTAATATAGTATTACTAAATAGAATAGATATTAACTATACGAATAGTGTGAAATGGCAACTTTATGACTGAAATTTTCTTCCATATCTGAGATTTAGAGAAGTTAAAGAAAACATTTCAGTTTTCACAAAACCAATAAAGTAATATATTTCGTTGCTTTAGCAGATTCATTACAACATCACAAAAGTTAGTTCATCAGTTCATATTGCTAAATTTACCAATTTCCATCACTTAACTATACTTCAGCAAAAAAGAGTGTTTAACATGAACTAAACATAAGGTGAATAGACTAACAGAAATACAAATTGATCATTCGAACTAAACAATGGATTTAACCTAAATACAATAAGTTCAAATGAAATCAAAGTAAAAAAAAATGAACTAAGTTTTCTAAGAATAAAATGAACACTTAAAAGTAAAGGTATGAAATCTTTTGTCTATTATAGTCTACAGTTGATTACTGCTGCGGATTGTTTATTCGGTTCACTGTCTTTTTATTGTCACCGTCTTTTCTTTTGTGAATTCCTCAACTTATTTGTTTGTCTTTTTGAATTATTTACCAAATGTAAATATGTTGATTTAACTGGCCTTTCCACTATAAATGAATCAAATGATTCTATTGATGTTTTACCATCGAATACTGTTTTAAAATGTTTTCTGTTACTGTTGTTTGTTTTGTTAGAACGATTTGTTAATAATTGGATAGATGAATTTGTAATGGATACAGATTTATCTTGTGTATCTGTAACAACTGGCTTGAAAGAAGTATGATCATTTAAATCTGTGGACAATTTTTTATTATTATTTTGATGATATAATTGTGATTTATATTGTTGAGGTTGTGTTTGTTGTTTTTCATAATTGCTTCCAACTGATGTATCACTGTTCAGTGAATTTTTGATGCAAACTATTTTCTTTGAATTAAAATGATCTTGTTTATTTGATAATGTTTGTTGTATGGTCGATAAATCAAAAGGTAAAGAATTTGATTGACTCGATGGTGATGATGGCAATGATGATGATGATGATGATGGTGATAATGTATACAACGGAAATGATCTTGATTTATTATTGGTTATTTTAAATGATACTTGTAAAATTCTATTATCTAATATATATCCATTTAATGAATGAATAGCTAATACAGCTTCTTCATAATTACTCATTGTAACAAAAGCAAAACCTTTACATTTATTATTAGTTGTATCATATATTATTTTAATTGATTGTACAGCACCAAATGGACCAAATAATTGCCATAAATTAGATTCTTCTATTTCTGGAGATAAATTATATACAAATATACACCAACCATTTGGTGTTAATCCACCAGTACTTGCTATAATTGTCGGTGCTAATATTGAATTGTTCATACCTATACTACTAACCATTGTCGAAAGTATATCTGTTTCAGTGGAACTAGATGATGTCATAGAATATTTTAATCGATTTGATACTGTAGCTATTCGTTGTTGTTGTAATTGATTTAATAATTCTGTATCAATAACTGCTGAATTAGTATTTCGTGATAATGATGATGATGATGATGATGGCGTAGCAGCAGATTTTGCAACAGTTTTTAATTGAGCTGCTTGTTTTAATAATAAAAGACTAAGATGATCAAATTTTATTGAATTTGGTGGATTAGCAAATTTCACAGTAATCGGTTTATTCAATAGATCATTTGAATATTTAGATGGTAATTGTTGACCATTTAATTGTTGTATTGCTAATTCAGCTTCATAACGATGATTAAAACGTATAAAAGCTACACCACGTGATATACCTGTCTTATTATCATATAATATACGTGCTGTTATAATACGACCATATTGACTAAATAATTGTTCTAATTCATTTTGTTTCATTGTTTTAGGTAAACCACTAATATATAAATTGGCACCTTTAATGGATTCACAATTAGGTCTTGCTAATGATACTTTAATAGTTTTATTTTGTAATGATAAACCATTTAGTTTATGTATTGCTTTTTGTGCTTCATTTGATTGTGAATATTTGACAAATGCATAACCAAGACTTTCACCAGTTAATTTATCACGTATTAATTTACAACTTTCAATTTGACCACAAGTAGAAAACAGTACTCTCACTTCTTCTTGTGACATATATGGTGGTAGATAATTGATGATTAAATTGGTTTCATCATTACTATTACTATAGTTATTGACTGTTATGTTGATATCATATGAGTTATTTGTTGAATACTTATCATTATTGTTATCATTATAACTACTTATATTGTTTTCAGTAGTTGTTAAACAATGATTTTTTAGATTGTTGCTCATTGAAGTTGGTGAATGTAAATGATAGTTTATATCATTTCTATTGATCTTATGATCGTGTACTGTAGAATTATTATTATTATTATTATTATTATTATTATTATTATTATTAGAAGTAGTAGTAGTAGTAACCAGTTTTCTCTTAGCATATGTACTTGGGCATTGACTTAATAAGTAAGAAGAATCAGTTGGACATGATGAAGAGACGGGAATTCTATGATCATGATGTATTTGTTTCTGTTGTTGATGTTGATTTGACTGAAGACTATTTGATTGACTGACATTAAATGATAGTGAGGAGACTGGTGATGTAGTTACTGATACTGTTATTGTTGTTGTTGTTGCTAAACAAGATTCTTGTAATTTTGTGTTGTTTTCGAAAAAACTGTCAAGATTTTGTTGTTTAAGTGAAGTGTTATCATTACAACTTGAATTTACTTGATCAGTATCAGAACTAACAACATCATCAATGTATCCATCGACATTTTTGTGATAAATACCTACATCATTACGATAATCACAACTAGAAATGTCATGTGCATTATCATCATCATCCGATGATTGTTGACTTAAGATGGTTGAAATTTCGTTATTTATTTTTAAATCTGTTATTGTTGCTGATTTTATTGATGTTGCTGATGAGGCTGTAGTAATGATTAAATTGTTTTCTGGATAACCTGGCGAAGAAAGATTTTTAAAAAAATAATTATTATATAAATAATTACCTCATCAATCAAATCATGCCTGTTAGAGAAATACTAGAAGAGGTGGAAATTTTCACTTACTTAGGGAGCATCATTGACAAACAAGAAGGATATGGTGCATATTTAAAGGCGAGGATTATCATAACAAGGTCAGCATTCCCTACAGCTGAAGAACATATGAGACTCAAAACAACTGTCAGTCAAAATCAAAATTTTTAATACAAACATCTTAACAGTTCTATTCTACAGAGCTAAAACATGCAGAACTACTACAACCATCAACAAAATAGTGCAGGTATTTATAAATGACTGTGTAAGCAAGACACTCAATATCCTCTGGTCGAATAACATCAACAAACTAGCTTCAATCCGAATAGGAAATTATGAAAAGATGCTGGTTGTGGAAAGGACACATATTACGCCAAGTATTGGAGTCAAACATTCAAGAAATAAATAGCACTTGAAAAGATCTAAAATGGAGAGCATAGAACAGAGTTGATTGGAGAAATCTGGTCGGTGGCCTATGTTCCACGGGGGGGGGCAGAGGGGTAACAAAGGTATATGAACGCATAATTACAGATACAACACTGCCTACCTCTAGACACTGATAAAACATTAGGATTTACATTACTTATACAAGATATTCCATTTGATTTGTCTATTGTTGTAGATATTTCTTGTTCTTTTATAACTAAATGTTTTTTCTTTCTAATAAGTTTACAAATCATTGTATTATTATTCATTATATCAGTAGTATGTAACAATGATGAATTTGATGATTGATTTAAACATATATGAATATTATCATCACTAAATGAATTATTATCAGAATGTAATTGTATAAATGATGTTGAATAATAACTATTTGTATCCATTATTGATTTATCATAGTCTTTAATGGGAATTACTTTACTCATTTGATTCTCTGTTAATTGATTTTTATCAAAATGTTTGTTACTAGGGATTTCATTAGTGTTATCATTACTTATAGTAGTATCTATATTTTCAACAAAATCTTTATAATTTGATGTTATCATACAAATAGAATCATTTGTTAGTTTATTATGTATACAACCATCATCACCTATATCACCAAATGCATGTTGGTTTTGATTATCTACTAATTTATTAATAGTAGTATTAACCGGTATTATATCACTTGACATTGTAATTATCGTTGTATTATTGTAATCGTCAGTTAAAATGAATAAAAGTGATTCACATTTTATATCGATTTATAAATCGATTTATAAAATTTGAATTAACCTCTAAACTATAGCATATATAGTTAATATTATTGATCAATATTGATAAAATGAAATCAGAAGGGGTTTTGTGAAGATTTCAGTATTTTTCATAATTGAAATCATGAGTCAATTGAACGGTTACTCAAACATCGTGGATTGGTTGAAGTTAGACATTAACACAGTTGGATGCTGGATCAGTGATTTCGCGCGCGAGAATGATAGGTCCTGGGTTCGAATCGTGGATGCGCACTGCCACTGAAAAGTCCCACAATAGGACGAGTTGGCCGTCCAATGCTTCCAGGTTTTCCATGATTGTCTAGCTTCAATTGACTTATGATTTCAACTATAAAATGAAATGTTTAGAAAAAATGGATTATGATATAAAGATAAGAATGAAGAAAAAGAGGTGACAAATTGTAAGGATGGCTAGTTGGAAAACTCAAGGAAATCTCAAGAAGCCTAGAAAGAGTGGAAGATATTCCATTCAATCACCTCTAAAGGAACATTCTAGAATGTCGATGTGTAGCTTCTCTATTGGATGAACAAGAAGGATCCCCCATATGTCTATTAGTTGTCCGAAATGATGACATACTTTCAGCCAAAAAACTATAAATACATGAGATTTTTATACTATATTTGACACTGTTTGGGGAATAAAATTCTTACTTACTAGTCTTCTGTCTTGCGACGTTGTGGGTTCAATCCTTCAAGTAGTCTAGTAGTACGCGGCATAGCCAGAATCAAATCTCTAGATATAACAATAATAATGAAAGCTATTCTTTGGGATATTGTGTCGTTTAATTCGTAATCTGTAAATTACTGATATTTAATGATGTGCCTACTTTATTTAAGGAATCGTAGGCTATTGTTTAATCTATAAGTTAATGTTCAATTTCTGTACTATTCCAAAATTATTGTCATTTAAACGTGGTTCTTGTGTGTTTATTTTTCATATTCTATAGTTTGGTATAATTGTTTATTTCTCATCTTTGATGTTTCATGACCCCTTTTTTATATATTCATTTGTGTTTATTTATGAGTTAGTCGAATTGGACGGAGATAGGATATTGAGTTTTCTTCACTTGTCATCATCTCTTCTCTTTTTTTTCAACCATCTAGAGCATTACTCAATGACAGCATGGTTCTTTTCTCTCTGTGCTCAAGGCTACTCAGTCACAAAATCGAATTCGTGTGTCGTAGTCTTAAGGTCATATTCCGTCCAAATTTGTTAGACTTGGATTAATCCAAAGGTTGAAAGTAGTAGTTATTCGGATTAAAAAACCAAAACTATCTGTATAAGAGAAATAAATTCAAAATTTTCTCCTATTTTTACAAACGTTAAGCCCAAAAATCAACAGTCATCTTATTTATAGGATCAGTTAATTTGGTTAATGCAGATTTATCCTTTTCTTTTACATTTTAATAACTTAAATTTATGTTATTCAAACACTGTTGTCAGTGAGAGCACAAATCGATCCAAGTTAGACAACCGTTTAAAAACAGGAAGCATTAGATAGTTATTTCTTCCTAGTATGGGCTCCTCAGAGGTGCACATACATGACCACAGTGGGAGTCAAACTTAGGACCTTTCGATCTATCGATGAACATTTAATCTTTAGACCACTGAGATGACATCCAATATTACAATAATGTGAATCAATAGTAGACATAAAAATCATTCAATATCTACAAAATGTATTTTTGTCTGTGAGAACGTACGTATGAAAAGTTTAGTCGTGAAGCAGAGCACTCTCAGTTCATAAGGTATGAAAAAAATGGTAAACCCAAGATTTCGAATAAAGTATCATTTAAATTATATCCAGCAGATTATTAAGAGATTCTGCAGTCAGTAAACAACTTAAAATATGAATCAAATATGGATTGCTCAAAGTTAAATTCCTTCATATCAGTACACATACAGAGTAAATTAACAACATGAAAATGAAAAGAGTGAACTATTAAATGGTTCTTTTCTCATTAACATAATGTTCAATCAGTCAATCTCAAGTAATATAGGGTCTGATTGAAACTCGCGTTACCCAAAGTTGCTTTACAATACCAGCAAGATGAGGTAAAATGAACAAGATTAATACCAAAATATTCAAAATAATAATAGTATAAATAGTAATGATAAAGACTAAACATTGAAGAGATAAGATTTTAGAGACAAAAAGTACAAAATAATTCTGAAAATAGAGAGTGAATACATTTGAGCCACCCTGATCAATTTTGAGTCGCATTTCCAAATAACCTGAGTTAATGAAAATCTACCACCTCATCCGCCGATTTATCATCCTTGCTTAATACTCTATGCTTAAACTTAGCATTATTCACAAGATCGTTTCACAATATGTGAGTAATGATCCAAAGACATCCATAGTTATGTACTTGCAACCTACATATATCTTCTACTCTCATCATATTCAGAAAAAGTATGGAAAAGAAAAATATATCCTATGCTTTAAATAGTTTAAGGTAAAATAATTAAAATCGACTGAGATCTAACTTTATTGAAATTTTATTTATCAATTACTAATTTTCTATTCTGTGTTGAGCTGTACTATGAGTATGAAGGTTAATGACAAAACGATACATCTCAAGCTAAAATAAGTGGGCCAGGGTTCGAACCTAAGACCTAGATAATTATGTACTTATAGATGTTCATTAGCAGAGAGAATGGTAATGGCAATATTGAAGAAACTTCTACTCTTTCAATGTCTAATCTATATCACAGATTATCATAGTTTGTAATTTTTATTATAAAATTATTATTTACATGCTTCTAATATCTTTACAAAAAATAGTTTATATCAACTGATCAGTTAATAAATAGTCAAGATCATGAATCAATGGAAGCTAGACCACCATGGAAAACCTGGAAGCACTGGACGGCCGTTTCGCCCTATTGTGGGACTCCTCAGTGGTCTATCGGTTGAGTACTCTGGCGCGAGACTGGTAGGTCCTGGGTTCGAATCTCGCGATAAGGGATCGTCGATGCGCATTGTTGAAGAGTCCCACAATAGGACGAAACGGCCGTCCAGTACTTCCAGGTTTTCTATGATGGTCTAGCTTCAACTGACTCATGATTTCAACTATATAAAATGTATTGATTATTATCAATATAGGGTTGTGGAAACTGCTGAGTTCCAGCTGATATCATGAATGGATGAATGTTAGACAACCATTGGAAACCTGAGAGCACTGGATGGCCGTTTCGTCACAATATGGGATTCCTCAGTAGTACCCATCCACGATCTCGTACGTGGGACTCGGAATCGGGGCTTTCGGTTTCGCGAGCAGACTCTTAAGCTCTAGACAACTGAGCTGGCATCCAACGGTGTTAATGTCTAACTTCAACCGATCCACGATATTGCGTGACTGTTGAACATTCATTATGGACAATTAAAAAAATAATGCAGATTCACATTTTTTAGAAAACCAGTTTTCGACGAAATTAGTGTCTTTACATTTAGAAAAAATAAAGATCTCCAAAACTAAAAACATGGTTGGTCTCTTCACCTACACTTGAATGTGAATCGCTTGTCAAGATTCACGACAAATTGTCAACCATAATTCAGATAACTGGATATCCATTTGAATAGGAAAACATTAAAATACGGGAAAGAAGTAATTTAGGTCATTCAACAACTAGCAGATATATAAATATAGACTCAGTCTACTAGGAAGAGGAGTAAGGCGATAGACGGCTACAATATCAGAGAACAGGTCAAGAAAATGTACATACAAACAATAGTAACATAATCACTGAGGAAAAATAATTGCATTCCATATGTGCAGGACAAACTATCTGTGAACAAGTTCTCATTAACTTCAAGTAGTCAAACTCGATAAACACATTTGAAAGTAGAGATAGGGTGAATTTGGAACTTTTAGATGGAGTTTTGTTCTCTGAGCTGGATGGTTTGGTCGTTGAGCTTTCAATGTTCTTCTGAAAGACGTCATCAGCTCAAACTTTGGGTAGAAGTGAAATGTTCGAATTTCTCCACATGTGGTTCACAGCTTGTCCTGTACACTTTGATGTTGACTGGTTCTTGTTGACCTTAAATCTGTCATCGTTTACTTCTGTGTTTTAGTTGTATCTCTCATTGGTTTGATTTTTGTGCATAATTTCCTTGATTGTTTGATAAATTGGATTGATTTCAATGTGCATGTGTTATGACTTGACCTAGCCGTCGCCAATTTGTTATGTTTTTGACCTAGGCGGTAGCCAGTTGTTATGACTTGATCAAGGTCGTCGCTGATTCGTTATGACCTTACGAATTTTACAAGGACGTAATTAGCGTAAATTATCCACCAATAGAATACGCCTTCTACGACCTTCACACTATGACAATGACGTTCGATTAGTATGAGTAATCTAGCGTCCTTATCCGCCTAACCCGTCCACTTGAGTCCAAAACACCAATAGCAGCTGCTGTAATGCGAATCGTTTATTCCAAACATACTTTATCTATATACCAGACAGGCAGACCACACCACACCATAAAATAGAAAATAATATTTGTACAAAACCAGGCCAAATGAGGCTGTAAGCGTGGGAGACAATAATCAATAAAACTGAGCATAACTTAGGAACAGTAAATCATACAATAATAATCAATAGGTCAAAATGAAGCTTACAATAAAATGAATATAGATAATCTAGTTACCGAATAGTTATACAATAAGAATGATAGTCCAATAGTGGGTCCTGCAAGTTACCCGTACTTATGTCTTCGCTACTACATAACAGCATGATTATTGCTGATTGACCTGAGTGTCAAGCATCTAAAAATCCTCTGGTGTTTTTGGAATTTCCTCTATCCAAAATCTCTACATTTTTCCAGTCCAATGTGTGTCCGCAGTTGTCCACTTGCATTGATATAAGTGAAGACATGTCATGGCGTTTGACTGCTAACTGATGTTCATTCAGGCAAAGATGAAGAGGGCGTCTGCTTCTTCTTTACACAACACTTATTAGGTTCCATGAAAAGAAATCTCCAAGGATTCAAGGATTTGCGATGGTCGTACAACAGTGAGGAATTTCAGACAAAGCTTCTACAATCCTAAATGACAACATTGTTCTCTTAGTTAGCTTGAGAAGTATTCTATAACTTTCAATCAGGGACAAAGGGAGTTTAATATCAGGATTTATCACAAGAAAAACTTAACAATCGTAATTTGACTAGTTTTCATAAAACATTATGTATTAACTTTTACGACGATATTCTACTTATAATGTAGGCAATGCAAACAAACTTCACAAGAAGATAAAAATCAATTGGGAACGGGTCATGTTACTTCTATCAATATAGGTCCTAGTTTCTTGTTTGTATAGAAACATAGCCTTTACTGAATGGTGAAGATTGAAAATACATAAGATATTATGCCCGATACCTGAATAATCATAGTTTGTCAACTACAACTCTTCGAAACGGATGAATATTTATTTCAGTTCTTGAGAAAAGACAATTAGAAATTTAAAATTTCGAAAACAGGGTTATTTTAACAAATCGGATGAACTTGGTAGTCTTGTTTATCTAAAGGAACAACGACTATTTGACAACAGTTTGACCACACCTAGGTACTAATAATAGATGTATATGCAAAGCTTATGATTGAATTACTTCTTTAGGAATTGAAGAGGGTGTATTTCGCACCAAACAAGTGAATTAATAATAAATTACAACGTATAATATTAATCAGAAAACAGCAAGTGGTGATGTCAAGAATGCCAAATACTAGCATATCCAAGAACTACTATATAATCAAGGAAAAAGGAAATATTACCACAAGTATAAAAATAGATCAAAGCATAGAAATGAATGTTATAAGTTGTTCGTTTCAAGGAACACCCTACATTACATTTGATAAGACATCAAATTTGTAGAAACAACCAAAACTACTTGTTATTAGTAAGTAATGCAAAGTACTATAAGAAAGTAATAGGAACGATATCAGTACTAAGGACTCATTCAAAGAAACGGAAAATTACAAAGAAAACGTGAATGTTTATTAAGTTAGGGCGAATCGAAGTGTGATAAACGTATTCAATAAATCTTGCATATAAACATTTGTCCCCTTATAGTTCAAAGTTATAAAGAAAATAGCAAGGATATTTGATAAAAGAACAAGTCTTTTCAAGACTAAGAACATCATAAAGAAAAGAAAATTGGTAGTTTGGTGTACATTTCATTCCTTTAGATGTATAAATGTTCCACAAATTATACAACACATTAAAAGCGATTTTTTATGTAAACGGACTAGAGAGATGAGGAGAGTTAAGGAAACAAAACCTCACAGCTCGTTAAAAAGGATCTCACTGAGAGATCAGTCATTTTCCATAAGTTAAGAGAATCTTTCGAAAAGGAAACAAAGGCTATACTTAAACGCGAGCTAAGCCACGATCTAAGGCCCCCGAATGCCCTGGTACGGCCGAGAGTCCGCTCTCCCTCTCCAAATGCTCTCACATGGCCACGCGAATATATAGCCTCTATCAGGGAAGTCCTACTCACTCCCTTCTCGTGGAGGGGGTGTTGTTCACAAAAGTGAGAGGACGAAAAGCGAATGTCCGGCGCTTTAACCGGGTTGGTGGACACGGAAACTCCACCTAGGGGAGTTGGAAAACCCTGATTCCAAACCAATGGTGCACATGGGCTCCAGGATCCTGAAGGAACAAATGGCGTATGAACCAATTGTTGGTCACCGGCTACCATAGGACTGCATCTCCTTAAGATGCTCCACTGCCTTGTGGGTTAGAACTTTAGGTCGAAGGCTCGGGTGTGGCCTCTCTAAGAAAACCACCTGCTTCAGTCTGGGCATCTGGGCAGTATCACAGCCCTCACACAAATCAAATGAGATTTGTGAGGCGCATATTTATCTGGTGCTTCCTTGTACCAATATTTATGTGTTTAAATAATAAATAGTAAAATAATAAGTCACATTAAGTCATTAATAAGCAATCTACTTCCAGAAAGAGTAGCACGAGTTAGCATTCACAAATTTTATATAACAAAACAAAAAGTCTACTCTAAAAAAACTCAGAAAAATCGCCTCTTAAAAGTTACTTTTACTTTTACTGAAGAAACCCAACACTAAAAAATTTACGCAAAATGACTGGTTCCAGAATATATGTCTGTACTGATCTCACTCTGATCAGTTGTATTAATAAGCAACCGGCAGTGGTAGAAATAAATAAGCACTGACGGAACGGTGAAAAAACCTTTTATTTAAGGGTTTTCGCGTTTTAAAAGTTCAGAGCGAAACTATCCTTAAAACACTATGAGTTGCACAAGAAAGTTCCTCACAAGATCAAGGATGTGCTATACAAATGCTCGCAACCTAATAAACAAAATGGTAGAGCTCAAGAACGTGATGGACACAGAGAACGCTGACATCATTACTATCTTAGAAACATGGTTAACGTCAGAAGTGCATAATAGCAAAATTCAATTGCTTAGTTTTTTACTCTGTAGGGCTCATAGACTAAACCGTGGAGGAAGTGGGGCTATCCTGTGCATGTAAAGCACCTTAACCATATGAGCTGTTGAGACAGTGGCACAAGACTTAAGAACATGTGAACTAGTGCGTTGCTGGCTAAAATATGAAGAGCAAGATATTGAATTAGTCGTAGTACACCCCAGTCCAGAATGCAGAGTGGATGACTTCCTCCTAAATAAACTTAAATCCTAGTCAAAAAGGTGGAAAAGTCTTATAGCAGCTGACTTTAATGAATCCTCTGTAAACTGGAGAAGCTTGGAATTAGAGTTATCAAAAACATAATCTGATTGCGAATCGTTGTAAACCACAATCGCTTTAGCTTTATTCCAGCACATTATATATCCCACCATATATGACCTACAAAACTCCTCGTCTCTCCTCAACCTAATCTTCACACTTACCTCTGACCTCTAAGGAGAAGTGATCATGCAGTAATCTAATTCAAGTTCATAGCTGAGATGGCCTGTCAAACAGTTGTGACAGCCCGTCATAACATATGGAAGGTAGACATGAAAGCGATCAACTCTGTAGCATAGGTGGTAAACTGGATAAGTAGGATCATCAAAAACGTCATTGGGTTACAAATTGTTAGAAACTGTACAATTAACTCATTCAAGAGAAGACTTGACACTCTTAGAAGCTTACTAGAAAAAAACTAACACATGCCGTAGAGCTTCTGTCCTCATTACACATATATGAATCTGAATTAAGATAAAACCTCAATTAATTTGCGCAGAGTACGAAGTACAGTGATACATAACGTGTATGCTATCATTAACTAAGTGAAAATTGGCAAAATTTGGTTCTTAAAATGTTTCAAATCAATGAAAATATTTATTATTCAGCGATAAAGTGAAATTTCAGATGGTCCTCAAGCTCAATTACATGATATACCTGCTTCTAAGGGAGAGTGAGTATCAAAGTACTTAATGTCATTCATCGTGTAGTCAAGAGTGCTAAGCGAAGCTAGAAAATATCAAACCTTCCTTATTCTTACTCTAAATTTCAAGCCCAAGTTCCTGAAGTTTGTAGACAGGAAGGTGGCAAGGCATTACACCTAATATCATTTTGAGTTGAAAAACCAGATCCCAATTTGTAAACCCTGCTCAAAACTCTATTTTAACTGTTAATACCTAACCATATTATTGTATTATAAATGACGTCAGTTGGTGACAAAAACTCAGTGGGATAATAGCCCGAACTCAGAGTACTAGCTGACTCGTGATATGTATATATAAGTGTAAACTTTTCTTTTTTTCCCAACCGGGAAGGAAAATTTGACTTGTGAAAGTTAATCATTACGATCCAAGTTGTTATTTAGTTACTTTATATTGCTAATTATCTTAGAACTAGGCACTGTTTCCTGATTGGTTTATAAGTTGTCCAAGGTCGTAGGTATATTATTCTTTTACCGATCCATTATAAAGCTTTACGATAAATCATAATTCCAACCAGAGTTCACAGATCCCAGTAACTGATATTGGTGTGGTGACTTGATACTAATAAAAACAATTAACAAATTGGTACAATCGATAAAAGAGAATACCAAGGAAGATGGAAGTATATAGATTTTATACAACTAAAAGTGATACGCTCTCCCTATTCACTACATCTACAAGATAGAAATTCATGCGGTAAGTTGGACAAACCTTGAAATGTCTATCCTATGTTGCTGTAGATTTTAAATGCAACTTAAAAGGTATCACACTGCCAGTAATAATACATACAGTTTCTTAGCCTATTGCTAAGTCCTCTTTCACCTATGGAGTATTTATTCCCATATTGTAACTTCCTGATTATGTTGATGTCAAGATTTTACTCTATACTTTAAAGAATTGTATATCAAAGTACATATTATTTCACGTTTTAACAGCATTGGCCGCTAAATGCCCTGGTACGATCGAGGGTAGGGAGAGTCTGCCCTCCCACATGGCCACGCGTGTACAACGACTGTCAGCGGGTTGGTGAATACAGAGAGTTCACTTAGGGGAGTTGGAGAACTTTCATTCTGAACCAATAAAACAACTTAAAGTGACGTGAAGCCAGTAGTAATGTTGTTTTACGTACATGGATTTTTAGCTGACATCCGACTACTTTACCAATACTAATGATTCGTGTTTGCAACAAAAATGGTGCTATTAAAGAGTAACAATTTATTTCATTACAGAGAAATCTGTACATAGATAAGGAATCAAAGCCTTCACCAAAAAAACACCAAGTTATTCACTTCTAGAATGTTTATGCTTTCTTTTTGGGTGTTTATGTAGCTTCTTCGATTTATGTTTTTTCTTATGATGACGATGATGATGATCGGGGGTGGACGATCTGCTACTACTACTTTCTGAAGACCCTGTTGTGGAGTGCTTTCTAAGAGGAAAATAAGTGAATAAAATTAACCAAAAAATACAAGTTGATTTACCGCTTCGAAACTTGTTTCTTCTCTTTCATTTTCTTCTTCTTTGCAGCTAAAATGAAATAAGAATGCAAATAACAGTCGATCACAATAATAAGTTAGGGGTTTTAAAGGGTAAACTAGTCAAGACAGTTTGCACTGATGATGAGCACGGAGTTATGTGGAAGTGGGCATTTTAAAGGTTTTTCAATAATGAAATACAAGTGCTCATATTTTTAACAAAGTAGTTTGAGTGACTTGACAGCAGCACAAATGTTACAAAACTTGAAAACTGTGGGTTAATACCTTCTTCACTCTCTCAGTTCATAAAGTACGAAAAAACTCGTATTAGGTTTCACAACAGTTTATATAATCCCAAGATGTCGAATAAAGTATCATTTAGCTTATATCCGGTAGATTATTACGAGATTCTGCAGTCAGTAAACTTTTTCACATGGAGATGATTTTACGGAAAAAAAAGGCAAAAGGCAAACCTCTAGCATTTAAACTAGGTTGGTAAATACAGAGGGCTCATTTAAGAGAGTTAAGAAAAAAACCTTAGTCCAAACTGACGATACGCATGAGCTTCGGGATTCTGACGAAATGAATGACGGACGAGCTTACTTTATTTACTGGCTAGCATGGGGCTTTATCTCCGGATGTTGTTCCGCTGCATTATGGATTCGGTCTCTAAGTTAACCTAATTTGTTGTGAATGATTTAATCTTACATTGATTTAACCCGACCGTTGCTGCTACCTTGACGTGGTGGTCGGGCTTGCCTATCGTGATGATTCAATCGAGCTATACTGGCTGGAACAAGATCCTCAAGGTCCTACCATGCCAGGCAGGTCGTTTGAAGAGCGGTGAGACTAAAAGCAGCAAACCCAAGGTCCGAAGGCGAAGTCGTACTGCCGACTGTACAGAGGTGTGACAGCAGTAAGGTGTTTCCTTCAGACAACCAGCATGACAGCGATGCTGCCTTCCCACAAGGAGGGGCGGGGTTAGAAAAGGTTGACCCTAAAAATGCACACCTCGCCTTATCCCACGGACTTCTGTCTCCGGTGGTAAGGTCCTTTGAAGAACGGAGCAAACACAAAAACTACCCACAAAAAGGTCGTGTGTGATCGACCTCAAGCAGTTGTCCCTTGGGCACTGCGGTCACGCTCTCAGGTCATTAAGACCACTTCTAACCCAATTCCCTTTTCAGATACCCCTAGAAGAACCCTTCCACTGTGTGGGCAACTGGGAACTGAAAACCGCCCTCAAACCTCTAACAACACTCAAGATCACTACATTCAGAATCAATCTCCCTCTTCAATTCCTACTATTCCTTCTACCTTGACATTCAACACTAAACCTCCTCTTTCAGCTTTCTCCTCAAGTGTCACCATGACCAACGATTCTAGTGCGCGAAACGCTGTCCCAGGTCTACTGAAACCTGGCTCCGAACTACACATTGGAGCCTTCAACATACCCATACTATGTCAAATCAACCGGCAAGCCTGCTTGGGTTAAAGCCTAAAATCTCTACCACTGATGCATGCTGCGTCTCCGAAACACCCATACAGGATCCAAGGGTGGTCATTCACTTGACCTCACGTCGCGTAAATGGAGAGCCGACGAGATACACCCTCCGTGTATCTGGCGACTCGTTGGCTAGTTCTCGTGGACTTGCAGGTGTAGACATAGCACTTAGTACAAGGGCAGAACAAGCACTATTAGAATGGATCCCTGTTAACAGTCGCCTGTGTGCTGTCCGTCTAAATGGATCCGTAAGAACTCGGAAGGATAGGGACACACGTCGTTGCCATTTCGTCGCTTCTGCCTACGCTCCCACTGACTGCAGCCACGATGAAGTAAAAGATGACTTTTACAGAAAACTCTGAGCTTCTTCAGAAAGCCAAGCGCTCAGACATAGTAGTCGTAGCGGGTGACTTTAATGCCCAGGTAGGTAGCTTAAATCAAACAGAAATACATTTAGGTGGATTTTTAGTATTCCGGCTCAGTGAACCGATAATAGCGATCGCCTGTTGCAACTATGCTCAGACAATCGTTCATGTTTAGCAAAACACTAATTTTAAGCATAAGGAGAGACATCGCCTAACATGGCGAACACCTGCACCAAACCGCCGATGGACTCAAATAGACAATATTGCCTTTAGTCATCGTTGGAGAGGCTTAATAGAAGACTGTTGCTAGTTCTGGAATACATGTTTAGACTCTGATCATAATCTAATACGAGCACGCATTTGTCTGCGCCTCACTGGACGCAAAAGAAGTACACTAAGAAGACCCATTAGAATTTGACGGAGGGATGAGGAAGCCAAAAGTAAGTTCCAGGAACAACTGACTTCACATCTAGGCAGTTCTGTAAATGAGGTTGACCCAGATGTTACTTGAGAAGATATACGAACAGCTGTGGAAACAACAGCAACATCTATTAGTAATTTAAACCAAAAGGTTACAAAAAAACGATGGATTTCTTCCAAGTCTATTGCACTGATGGATTCTCGTAAACTCATCCCATCAGGCTCTGAACACTATGAAGAGCGAAAACAAATCAGATCTAGGTTAACTAAAAGTCTAAGGAACGATCGTGAGCAGTGGTGGGCAACGAAAGCAAAAGAGATGGAAAAGGCAGCGGATGTAGGCAACTACTATTCAGACTAATAAAAGAAACCGGAATTAAGAAGTCAAGTGTAAGTGAGACGATCTCGGAAAAAGACGGAACCCCTATCTGCTCTCAGCCCAGAGGTTTAGAACGATGAGCGGAACATTTTAGGGAGCCGTTCAGCTGGACTTTAGCTACTTTACAGTTACCCACCATTCCCAAACAGTCTGAATGGAACATTAAAGTAGGTCCCCCGACGCTTATTGAAGATCAAAAAGCTATAGCTAATATGAGACGAGGCAAAGCAGCTGGTCCAGATGGATTGGCTCCAGAGGTCTTGAAATATGGTGGTCCAATTTTAGCGATTAGGTTGACTAATATTTTAGCTAAAATCTGGGAGACGGACGTAATCCCACACGACTAGTCACAATCTCTGATTGTCCCAATATATAAGAAAGCATCAAAATCATCCAGTGATAACCATAGACACATTAGTTTGACTAATATAGCGTCTAAAATACTAGCCTCAATAATTATCGGGTGCCTAACTAAGACTCGTGAACCTCAAACACGAGAAAATCAGGCTGGCTTCAGACCTGGTCGTGGCTGTATCAACCACATGTTCACTATTCGTCGGGTTTTAGAACACAGGCATGCTTATCGGCGTCAGACAATGAGGGTTTTTCTTGACTTAAAAGCAGTATTTGACTCTGTAGACCGAGAGGTTTTGTGGCAGTGTCTGTCATTGAAAGGTGTACCTGAGAAGAACATAAACCTTTTGAAGGCTCTTTACTCCAAAACTACCAGTCGAATGAGAGCTTATGGCGAACTGTCATATGATTTTACAACCTCAAGTTGTGTCCGTCAAGGCTGTCCACTATCCCCATTTTTGTTTAACTTCATTATAGACCTGTTGCTGGAAATAACACTCTCTTCGACAAAATTTTCAGGAATTGATCTTCTACCAGGGGGACCACTAAGCGACTTAGAATACGCAGATAACATAGTCCTGTTTAGTGAAGACACTGGCAAAACGCAGTCTTCTGTTAGAACTGAGTAATAATGCCAGAATGTTTGGGATGCGTTTCTCCCCATCCAGATGTAAATTGTTACTCCAGGACTGGCCTGCGTCAACACCTGAACTAAGGATAGGGAGTGAAGTAGTCGAACGCGTCGACAACCTCACTTATCTTGGAAGTCTGATCAGTCCTAATGGGTTGGTGTCTGACGAAATCTCAGCACGGATTCGAAAAGCTCGTTTGGCTTTTGCCAACTTACGTCACCTATGGCGAAAACGAGATATCCGTCTATCAATTATGGGATGAGTATACATCGCAGCAGTTCGTTCTGTTCTACTTTACGGCTGTGAAACATGGCCATTAAGAGTAGAAGATACTCGTAGGTTACTAGTATTTGACCACAGATGCCTTAGAAATATTGTTCGCATCTTCTGGGATAACCGGATAAGTAATAGTGAGGTTAGACGCAGGGTTTTAGGGAATGATGGTAAATCAGTTGATGAGGTCATGAATCTTCATCGACTGAGATGGTTGGGCCATGTGTTACGTATGCCTGAACATCGATTACCACAACGCGCAATGTTGACTAGTGTAGGGGATGGTTGGAAAAGAGTTAGGGGCGGCCAAAACAAAACATGGCATCAGTGCTTGAAGTCACTAACTTCTAGTCTGAGCCATGTTGGTAGATGCAGACTACTTGGTTGGGATCCGCGTGACTATCGTAACCAATGGTTGGAGACTCTAGGTGACATGGCTCAGAATCGATCACAATGGCGTAGGTGTATACACTCTTTATCTTGCCTTAAACCTTGAGATTAAAATTGCTTCATAACTTTTTTCCTTCCTATACTATATCCTTATATACAACCTTTCTTTATATACTACCACCACTAAATTAATTACTTCTATGAATCCGGTGTTCATCTTGTTGTGCTAACGAGGTATGGTAACTTGGACCGATGCATATATGTGCCTGGTCCTACGTTGTTGCTGACTGACTGACTGACATTGATTTAAATCCTTATTCCGTTTTATTTTTATCCTATGATGTTATCAAATACAAAATCCGATACAACCTTTCTAAAACTGCGTGAGCAATTCGAATTTGCTTTCTTCAGCGTATGGAATTTGACGCAGATTGAATAAGATCGATTAAGAACATCTTGCTACTCATGTACATCTTGTTTAAGGCTGATAATCAGCCCACCAAAGTGAAGACTAGCAGTAGATACGTTTGGATTACACCATGAAAATAGTGGGTCGAGTAGCTTGTATCTTGAAGAAAAGTTCACAGAGTAATGTAAGAAACTGTTTTCTGATGTGAGTTGGGCAACCAGCCAGTATTCCAGCCCTAACACACATCAAATGATTTATGTGGCGCATATCTATTTGGTGCCTCCTTGTACTAAAATTTGTGTTTAAATAAATAAAAACTGTACCAAAACTAATTATACGGATTCTGTCCAGAAATACTGAGAGACTCAGTGCATTTCAAACTAGAAGCAAATAACATTATTTCATACTGTTCTGAAGATCAAGGTAAGAGGAAAATCTGCAAATTTACGGCCTTTTCATTTTGTTACTGTGTGGTAATTTAATCTACCTTATTAACCCAATCGGCTGTGAATCAGTGGGCTTAAACCTCGGATAAGAATACTTCAAGAAATTGGAACGAAATATCCTACTGCCATAATCTACTAACCTATCTGTAGCATATGTACTAAGTAACTATTCATTTGTGCTTGATTGCCCGCTGATTATGAATTCCAAACATAATACGTTCATTTAAGCTCACCTAATTCTACCTGTCTTGAATTGTACGATACCATGAATTCTTAGTTATAATATCAATTCGAATATTTCTAAATATCGTATTAGCGTCGCAATCGAGTCAAATCTTGGACAGTTAGATATCAATTCAAGTGGGGATGAGTTTGAAAACGATAATGAGCGGTTTGAAATCTGGTGCATAACTAGAAAAGATATTAAAGACGATAAATGTACTGCTTATTTCCTGACGTTCATCGACAAATAAGCTAATCAGCTGTTAAAAAGTATGACCTTTTCAGAGAAACTAATTCCATTGTTATATGAATCTCTCAAGGAATTACAACGTAGTCATGTGTAGTGCTAGCTTTGAATGAACAGAGAGGTCAACGTTCCGTAAAATGATGCAACAAAATGAACAGAATGTTAGGGACTCTACTTGAAGTACAGAAACAGACCACAAAGCGCAGTTTTGGAGACCGATCGGAAACTCAACTTCGTGATCGGTTGATTGTTGGGATAAATATTACGAATTTAGAAAATTCATAAGTCCAAAAGTTTATTCTAAGAAATTACAACCAAGTATTTACTATGAGGCAGTAAATGAGCTTGATTCCCAGTCAGTGAAAATTTCTGCAAGACTATAATTTACGGACGACCCTAAGGTAACCTTGGGAATGTCTACCTGCTAACTAGGACTAGATAAAGGTTATAAACCAGTGTGAAGAATCAGAATTATGATTTAAAGTTGATGGTTAAGGTCAGGAATTAGATTAAAGGTTTTCATCAAAAATTGACACCAACTAAAATGCCAAAACGCTATTTAACCAAATGAATGAATGAATTACGCGAAAACTCCAAAACATGTTACCATATATCTGATTGGCTCGTCCACAAATTATAGTCTCGCTATAAAGTTTCCTACTCTCGTGGAAATATGAAACGTTAATTAAAATTTTCAATACAGGTAAGGTAGGTGAGCACAGGTTTCACTTATGTAATTCACGTGTCTTTCGTCATGTTAAGCGTTTTAGGTGTGATAAAACAGAACACATCCAGTCGGATTGTAAAACTACTGTTCATTTCGCCGCAAGTGATGCTAAACTTTGTAACTCTGGTCTTATTAATTTGGGTGGTTCTAATAATCATATGCTATCCTTATTTACAACCCCCAGTAGTTCACTACATATTCAAAAACGATTATATTTGTCCAGTGGTGCTTTTCACAATTTTACTTTTAACACTGATAGTATAAAATCTATCGTGTACGTTGGAAAGTTGGAGTCATCAAATTCCGATGCTATAATTATAGCCACTTAAGCTTTTATCTCGAGTATAACAGGTCATAAACATACTATTCTTGGGTGTTGCAACTTGCTGATTAAAGATGATAAATCTTCAGTCCTAAATTGCTATTTCTTCCCCACTGATTGAGGACCATCTGTCCTGGTTCTAGAAAACTTAAGAGTGCTTCAGATACAGCTCTCCTTACTGATCACTGAAGACGATTCCGATGAAATTCTTGATAACTACGTAATCAAAGTGCGAAAAATTACACACAACTTCAAAGCCCTCTTATTATGATGCGCAAGCATAAAATACCGAGACCTAGAAAACAAACATCAGTCTCATTACTGCTGCGAAATTCGAAGACCCGAAGAACGGAGTAGATAGTCTTTCAGTGAAGAACTACCGGACCGTACTCAAAAGAAACAATGGTGGGATTGCTTGAGCGAAATATCATCCAAAAACTGATTTTTCGCGGTCTACGTAAGGTCTGCCAAAAATGGTCTATATATCTACTGTTCATTTACAAGCCAGTCACAACAACCGAATGTCGCAGGAGCCCAGATGAGTCTGTTTTATTCTCATTGTTAATTCTAATACTAACTAGTACATCCTATGCCACATATTCTTAACCTAATACACAACGGGAAGCAATTAATTGACCTAAGAATACGTACAACAGATTAAGGGAATCCGGATACCAATTTAAGCTATGACGGTTGTAGTATTTGTATTAACTGGTGTTCCCTCTGTACTTGAATGCCTACTGATTACGAATTCCAAATGATACGTTCACTTGTACTAATCTAGTTATACCTATCCTCAATCTCATCACTTCAGGAATTCTCATTTTGAATAATAATTTGAATACTTCCAACTACCGTACAATTTCACATCGCGCATTCGAATCAACAACGGTTATTATATCACAGTACCATAGTACACTTAAGATTTAGATTCTCTCTGGCACTCGGTTTCTTGGAGTATGAATTTTTAATACGATGATAACCGGACGAAAATTGGAATCCAACATTATATATAAAAATTTGTACATGACATGGGGAAGTATAAACAGGACGACCTACCCATTGAAGCACGTCGTAATTCTAAAGCTGCTGCAATTATCTCGCTTTCATCAGACTGAGAACTGGTACTGCTTACATCTAGAACTACATCACCTGAGACACCACCGCGTAAATAATTGCGACATTGAAATGTTAAGTGGCCGGCTGTATCAGCCGTTAGTAAGTATGTTGCTGCTTACTAAATCCACATTTTTTACAGCCCACTCGAAAGTTCGTCCTGGATTCACGGGGTTTAGCTGTAAACTTATTGAAATCAAAGGCAGTACACTTACAATCCATATACCCTGTCCACAATACGGCAGGCGAGCCACAACCTTGAGAAGTTGTATGAGCGCGTCCCGAATTCAAATGGTTCAAATGGTTGAGGACGGGATAGAAGAAGATTTCTCTTAACGGGCTTCCATGTCTAGTAGCAGTGGATCACCAATACCTCCAGGCAAGAACATAGGTATGTTAACGATAATAGAGTGGAATTTGGTAAATCATAATAATATGTTATCCTTAGTCCTTAAGAATAAGTCAAGTTTCCTCTTAAAGGACTCCTGGGAAGTCGCTTGAACTAGCTCAGTCGACAGCGAATTCCAGCACTTGACAACTCTAACGGAGTAGAAATTGTGTCTGCAGTCTGTCCTTCTATGTTGGGTCTCCAATTTCTGGGTGTTACCTCTCAGGTTAGTTTTGTGGCTAAGCTTAAGAAGATGTTTAAGGAAATGACCAGAAGTGTTAAGGATACTGTAAGTCATAAGAAGGTCACCTCTGAGGCGCCTGTGTTCTAACGGGTAAAGGTTAAGTGATTGGAGGCTCTCTTCACAAGGCTTGAATTTGAGTCCCCGAACTGATTTCGTGGCTCGACGTTGGATATGTTCCAAAGTGTCATTACCCTGTAGTGACCGGCCAGTCTCGATAAGAACACGATTGGAATAATAGAAACAATTATTATTATTGTATCCAATTGTACCAGAGATTGTTTTACTGTATTTGTTTAACTGTATCCGTTTCACTTCTTGTTCCATATACCGCCTGGTTTGGTTCGAGCTTGCTCACGCACTGCTTATTCGCTTGTACTCTTTGGCACGTCTCGGTATTATTTCGATACCACGAGATCGCCAATAAATATACTTTATCTGGACTAGTAAAGCCTTCTGGTTTACGGGCTATCAAGGGAACCAAGTCGTTTTTGGGCGCGTAAACGAATTGTAGTGGTGATCATAGTCCGTCTTCGACTCGACATCCACTACAACCCTTTGGTAGGGAGGGAGGAAATACCATGTTTCCGTACTCTAAATGGGGACGAATAAAACTGTTGAAGATTATGTTGAACGTTCTGCCGTCAAACTGGTCAAAAATGCGCTTCCATGTTACCAGTGCAAGGTTTGCTTGAAAAGCGTTTTTGTCATAGTTAGCGTACGACTTCTAACTTCGTAGGGCACCAAAACTCCCAAGTCATTTTTTACTTGAGAAACTTCTAAAGAAGCGTTTCCTAAGTTGTAACTATAGTCTGCAACATGTCGCAGATCGAGTACTTTGCACTTTGAAGTGTTGAAGGTAAATCCGTTGTCGTCTGTCCAACTTTGAAGTCGAGTCACATCCTCCTGAAGTGCTAATATATCCTTTTGGTCATGTATCTCTCTCCAAAGTTTCACATCATCAGCGAAAATCAACAAGTCAGACGATACTTGTTGTGGAAGATCGTTAGTGTGAATCAAGAAGAGGTCCTAGTATTGAGCCCTGGGGGACCCTACTAGGATATTCCATAGCCTGAGAGAGAGTGAATTTAACCCTGACCTTAAAATGTCGGTTTCCTAGATATGAAGCTATCCAGCCAATCGGAGGGGTTTGATACTCATTCGACTAGGCTTATTGAGAAGGCATATTTGGTTGTTCCTATCAAAAGCTTTTGAGAAATCAAGGTGAATGACGTCAACCTTCCTCTTGCGATCAAGGATGGTTGTCCATCTATCCACCGCAGTTAGCAGGTTCGTCATACAAGAATGGCCCTTTTTGAAACTGTGCTGTTGGGGTGAGATTTACTCGATAGAACCTTGTTCCTTTGGATCAGATTCAAGCTTCAATACCCAGTATTTTTGTGACGAGTTAGGATGGCTCAGCTTTTTGTGGATAGAATACATGAGATTTTCATGTAGTGAACGCTTGTCCCTAGTAATAACGTGACTCATCAGGCCCCTTGGTGTTTGAAACAAAAAATCAAAAAAATTAGTAGAAAATAGGTATGAAATCTTGTTCTAAATCCTTAGCAATGTACCAAGATTCTTGTTGAAAGAGCCTTGGAAAATTTCTTGGACCGATTCAGGTGCTGGACAATCCCACCATTTGATTACTCGTAAAGAATGGAATGAATACCAATTTGATGTTGTGCGCCTAAAATGGTCATATTTCCTGTAAGATTCGTGTTGGGGTTGAAACACGAGGCGTTTTGAGACTTAAGCCAACAGTTACTTAGGTGACAAAACATAGTTTACGACGCAATAAATATTTCTCCAGTAACATTATTAACTGACAGTCTACTTTAAAACAACTACAACTTTCATTAGGCTTTCCATGAATTAAAATGTCATCCCAGAATGCAACGCATGTCAGGAGTATTGTGGTCTGATATACAACCGCAGCAAAACTTACAGCATAATCTAGCTTTTAATAGAAACTACATCAATATTTAGCAAATTCATTGACCACATGAACGTAAGCATGACCATTAATACGGCCTGCGGTGTATGCTACTTGTGTTTGTCGACATATGTAGTATGTAACACTAGTGGGAAATGGGAACCCTGGCAGCAGAAGTTCATGAAAGTCGACTTTAAGAAGACAGAAGCGGGATTAAAAAAGAAACTAGGAATCGGAAGAATCATACAGAATATGAAGGAAAAATGATGGGGATTTGAAAATGTATATAACGCATGGTTCCTATATTTTGCCAGGAGATCCTATAATTTCATATTAATATACAATAGTTATCCCCATCTGTGTGTTCATTCATTGCATGGCCTACTATACACTAAGTTGACGTGACAGAGTTGAGTATGTTTGCACGCTATCACAATCGATTTTAAATGCGCCAACACCAACTAGGCTACAGATGCCATGACGGAGCCCTATGGTGGCGGGCCTGTTGGTAATTCTGCATCGTTGATAAAGTGCAGAAGTAGAGAATCGCTGTTATTTTGCTCAAGTTTGTCCGACCTAGCCGTGGAAAATTGGACCCGTCCATCTTTATGGAAAACATCGCTTATTACCCCCAGATCCTGAATAGCAATATTGAAAAATTATAAGTCCACTGACGTGGTGCGAGAGAAATTCTTTATATTCGTCGCAGCTCTGATTTAGAACTGGTTCTACACAAACATACTGAAACCCCTAAACATTGTTTGTGGGTTAGGTTTAAGACATGGCTACAGTTTGAAATTTCTGGAACACTGCATGAAAGCACATAGGATCCATAGTGATAAGGTTCAATAACACTGAACATAGGTTGTTATTATTTAAATGAAGCCAGAGCAAACATGAATGCAGAATAATATGAATTCCCTATATTCCATGGTTTCTCATCAACTGCTTAAAACCAAGTATGTCGTAAGATCCGAACTAAGGTTTGACTGAAGAATAACTGTCTCGGTAATTAAGAAACGCGCTATTGCACAGTTGAAATCGAAACAAGGTGTTTGGGAAAATAAAGGTTCTAAATTTAATTATAAATACAAATATACATTACTACCTAAACAAATATTTCTACTCAGTTATTCAACCAATAATTGTTCCCTCAATAACCGATCTCAATTACAATAAATAGACAAGGTTTTAAGTAATGTAAGAAAATTACCGAGCGCACCAAAAATAAATGTTGTTCCACCCTTTCTGGATAGATCAAGTAAAAATCTGTTCAAAAGATAATAGTTTATTGCTTTATAACACAAAGTGTTTCCAATTCTGGAAAAGTGCTTCAATGCACAATCAAAATGCACAATTTCATACAGTTAGTTCCCTTTATGAATTTAAATAAAGACAACAAATATTGATGCAGAATAGTATGAATTTATTATATTTCGTGGTTTCTCATCAGTTGCTTACAACCAAATATGTTTTAGAGTTTTAGCATCGGGGTAAGCAACACAAGCAAAGGAGGAAGACTCATCATAGCCACTGCCAAGATTAAGTATAAACTAAAACAACATAAATACAGTTCAGGAAGAAACACAGAAACTCAGTAAAGGCGAAGGAAAAATGAGAAAACTATAATAAAATAAAATATTACCATCTCAAATGGCATCAAAAAGATTAACAAAATGTACAACTAAAGAAACCAATAAGAAAAAGTTGCAAATGAATGCATGGAAGGATTCTCACACACAAAACCTTCAAAATGGATCTTGCAATGTATTGAAAGTTCACATTGAGTTGAGATGTATTGTTAAACAATTGATATAGATGATTGGAAAGAATTGGAATGACAAAGGAATTTATGAACCGTTGTCACTTTTTTAATGACGGTTATCAGGGTGATTGATAAATGAAACATAAGGAATTATCTCGTAGTCAAGCCACTACAGCCTGAATATCTCTGGTCCAGAATACTTCTCTGCCTCGATCGATGTAACTACTTTCTACTTACTTAATTGTGTTCGATGCGTTTTCGAAGTGGAAGGAAATCCTCCCCATTGTGTCACCAACAACGACTAAAAGGCTACAGCTCTTGACGGAGATCTCCCTCAACGGACTGCCTAGTATAATTTTATCAGGTAACGGTCCTCATTTCACTTCCAACCAGTTCCAAGAATTCTGCCAACATCTGGACATCAAACATTGCCGTTGAACTTCTTACCATCCTCAGTCAAATAGCTAAACAGAAAAAATTGTGGACACATAAGAGGGTTCTACTGAAGTGGAAAGAGGAAGGGATGCCACTCGACATACTACGGCAGTTCTTAATTGTTTTTCGAACGACTCCAATGAGTTCATTACCCAGAAGCGAAAACCCCTACAGATATCCTCATGGTAAGAAGACTGGAGACGATCCACAACTTGGTGCCCCCGAGAACCACACCACCCCCCACCGACTTATTCCCAGGGGTTGTCAACGTATGAAGTTGGGTGCCGGATATTCTCTTGGGACCACAGACAATATTGCAATCACTGGACTGAAGCATGTGTGGTTAGAAGGCTTAGGCAACTCATGTTTAAAATAGAGGTGGGAAGAAACAGGTGAACTCGACACCGGAACTGGATACGGAAACGGCTATCCCCAGGTCGCCCATCGAGAGACACAAAGCTTCCGCCTGAAGTTCCTTTAGATACTTTTGACCTACTCGTGGTCCCTACGCAAGAAGAATCACAACGACAAATCGATCTAGGTTATAGAGAGTGATCTCTTCGACAATGGCGACAAACAGTCAAGATGCAGGTGAGCCCCAAAAACATACGCTATTAAAAGCGCGGCTGTTGGAGATGCTAGACCTCCAGAACTCACTTGGCAGAAGTTTCATTTTGGCATTTTTATTCCGAAATTTTTAGTTATCTCATTTTCGCGCCAGAGATGCTTATTTTTGTCTTCGCATTATATTTTCTACTTGGAAGGACCTTAAATGTCATTGATTCGTTTCCCCTTTTAACACGTTATTCGTTGACATTTCTAAAAGACGTTTTACAGTGTATATATACGCTTGAATAGTGTGTTTGTTCGTTTAGGTGATCTCTTAACCTCTCGAGAAATAGCAATAACCTAGATTTAAATTGAAAACGGTCAGTGGTCTTTTTATTCTTCCCAATACAGCATGGAACCTTAACACCCGCTGCGTGCATATCGACATTATTTTACAGGCTTCTTACCAAGATTTTGAAATCACCAGCTCCAAAGGTAGATAAGGTTGAAAGACGAAGGTCCATCGAGATACTTGTTCTTTCGCTTGTTTATTATGGTGTACCTACTTCTCGCACGTTAAAGTACTGCAACGGTGACCGTAGAATAACACTCAACCAAGCCTCGTTTGTATAAATCAATGGTAACAACACTGTTACTGATAAATGACACAAACCACTTTGGGAAAAGAGAAGGTAGTCATCAGTGGGATTATTGAACTGTGTTGTAGTTTTACCTGGAGTCTACATCACATGGTTGAAGAGCGAACAGAGAAGATAGTTGTTGTTATCCAACCTGCGTCCAATGTGTTTCACTAATTCCAAGCACCCACAATTTGTATTTCCTCATTTCTGCAGCAATTCGGAAGACTCTTCCGGTCTCCCATATTGTCCGGACATTCCGTATACCTATAAAAATTGTTGCTCTGTTTAGAAGGTGCATTGGCCTCATGACTTCCGAAGGAACTCGACTTTCATCATGAGGCATCATAATTATTCCTTCTACTCCCAGGGCAGAGTTTAAATGGTTCGAATAATTATTTTGGTTATCGCTTTTTTAGCGAGTTGGTTTTCTAGGGGATGGGGTCGCTAACCCGATGCTCAACCCTCCTCGAAATGTTAGTCTGTATAAGGTAATAGCCATGAATTGTGACCGGGAGGGCTTTTCACTGGCAAAGATAGACACTGCCATGACTACAGAAGACCGAATCCCGGAATTTGATCATAGTAACCCCGAGCTGTGGTTTGCTCAACTAAGCAATTATTTCACGAGACACAAAATCGATAAAACAAAAATCACTGGACCTGAATTTGACTACATTTTACAACTGGGTATTATTCTTCCCCCTGATAGTCAACGGGCATCCCTTATGCACATGGTCCCATAGTAAAAAGAAGGCGATTGGCGACCGTGTGAGGACAAAGGATCCCTCAACAGTCAAACCGTACCAGATAGGTACGCAATACCTCATATCCAAGATTTTACAAACTGCTTACAGGGTATGAACATATTCACTAATATTGACTTGGTCAGGGTACATCACAATATCCCATTGGCTGAGGAAGTTATCTCTAAGACACCTATTACTACACCTTTCATACTGTTCGAATATGTACGCATGCTATTCGGTCTGAGGAAGACGGCACAAACATTTCAAAGATTTATGGATAACTTACTTCAAGACGTGCCATTTGGACAGGGGTACATAGACCGTTTGTTAATTACCAGTCCTGATTTACAATCACACGGACAGTATGTGAGAGCAGGGTTAAAACGGCTGGATGAAAACGGAATGAATAGACGTCAAAGTGTGTTTTTGGTGTTCAAGCTCTAGAATTTCTCGTGCACACAATAAACCAAGAACGGGTTACATCGAACCAACTCGTTTCCTAAAAGACGTTAGGAAATATAGCTTCAATATAACATGCATATCTACATCAAGCCGTCAAAAGGTTTATCTGTAGGACTCCGATTATTTTGCCGACCATAAAGCCCTATTCAACTCTCATAGTCTTTGTAAGTTCATTTTTCTCCTTAGCCGCATATTCTATTTTTCCGGGTCAGGGAGTACTCCATACACCCGCGGCTACGAACCTGGTTACAAAAGACGGTCATAACAGACTGAAGATCATTTATTTGACTGAGTTCTGTGATGAATCCAACTTCAGTACACATTTACACATATATATTTTAAAAGAGTAAATTGTTCTTAAAAATACCTTTTCGTGTACAAGATTTTTACACCGTATCTACCTCCTGTCAGATTGTCAATCTGTTCTGGAAGCTAAACACTCATGTAGAGCCCAACAGTTATCAATTATATTTGTGTATTTTCTTCTTGTACCTTATTATTTTACACAGTTAATGGAGCAGTTCTTCAATTTTGACTGATTTCTGTCATTTCTCTTGGAGCAGATTCCTCTTTATATTGTACTTGAGGGCGACTGAAGAAGCAGGTGAATTAACACGTGATAGCCGAACAGAGGATGGAAAAATCATACCTCATCAACATGTTGCTGGGTAGCCCGCTTGTGGCACTTCCTCAGATATTCTTGTTTCATTTCCTTACCTTTTTTTCCTTTACAAGCTCTGACCACCATACAGAGGGCACATATCAAATCATTAGCGATAGATGTGTAGGAAATTAAATGGTACGAGAAAAGATAACAATACAGTAAAGGAAGAGAAATCAATGGAGTATCGTCGAATACTGACGGGGTTGGTTCTCACTGGCTGAAAGTCAAAAATTGAACGAGTTAGTGATTCTCGCTCGGGCTGCGGAACCAGAACAGAGGTGTTGTTGATAGATAAGTTGATTGAACTGACATTCCAGTAGAGGTAGGTTCTAAGCGGGAGCTAATGTAACAACGCAGGTCGAGTAGTTAAGAGATGACCTCAAACAACTAAGTAAACGTCAAAACAATAGACCTCACTTCCTCATTTTGTTTGTGTATTATATTTCCTATTATCTCATATTGAATGTTGAAAAGTTTCGTCAACAATCATGAGGGATAACTGCTGATGACAGAACACCATATATGTTCAGCAAGTAAGGTTCATAAACTCCCATTAATTAATGACAATGAGAAACAAAACTCTTCTGATTGCGATACCCCTATCATTCTTTTCTTCGATTGCTTTAAATATAGTCACTGGACGGCCGACGTGAAGCGAACAAATTAAAGAAAAAAAAAGTAAACAAGCGTCCAAAAATCGATCTTCCAGACGGATGGGTAAGTGCCAATGATTCCGGCACTCAAATGCTGTTAACAGCATCAGTAACGATGACGAGATAGACACTCAAAAATGAAACTTTATTCAGGACATGTTGAAGCTCAGCACTACATTTAAATTCTCAGTTTCAAATGTGACCACCCCAATTCTGTGTTCACGTTCGTGACCAGATCATCAATACAGGCTGATTCATGATAGGACCACCGCTCACCTATCTTCGAGGCAAAACTGTAGTGATTTCACGACATTCTGATAGTACGGATTCCGAAAATATACCTTGACTTTCTGGATTAGATGTCTGTAAAATAGTTATACAAAGTGAATATGTGTGCCTCTTGAAACATGAATTCATTTTTAGTAGGATGTATGTAGCTTATCAAAATTATTTAGTGTAACCCTTTTATTTAAACGTGGCTCCCATTAATAGACGAGGGGATCACTTTGCATTTATATGGATCCAGACATGTAATAATGTGAGAGTTCAACAGAGTAGAAGTAATTCAAACCCGATCGTTCTGCTGATGGAGTACAGATACTAAGACAGTGAGGTGGGGTTGGGACTATTTACCTGAAAAAGCAAGCCTATAGCGATTCCATACCTACATAAGGCTTCATCAGCCAAATGTGTATCTCAAACGCGTTCTAAGTAGAACTAACATACTGATACCATGCTGAACAAAATAGATGGGCTGCACTAGAGGAAATCTTGTACGAGTACACTGAAATACCAGTTCTGATTCAGACATGAATACCAAAGATGAATTTTGGCTGAATGTTGTCAGTCAGTTTAACCCATAGTATCGCCTAAACCAGTCAGAGCTACTGATTAGTCACTATTTCCAAATGTAGTATTAGATTAAGCAAAAATCATTGATCCAAGAGAGCTGGTTCATCATAGTTACTGGATTATGTGACCTTTATAGAGTCTTACGTCGGTTATCACCGAAAATATTAATGTGCTTAGTGTTTTCAAATGAAAATTTTCTCGAGACTTGCAACGGACAACAAACAAATAGTCCGGGCGAAGAACGCCTTAACACGTGGCACGTTTATAAGTGAAGTTTAGCAACCCAGTCAGGTCGGAAATTGGAAATAAACTTCGAGGATATTTGGCAGGATATTGACCTATAGAGTAGTGTTTGATCTAAGATCGCCAGTAGTTGAAAAAGATGTATGACGTACGCACTCGTAATTTGGTAGAGATGCGTGATCGAACACCTTCAGCTGTGATGTGTTCATTAAAATCAACGGGGTTAGCATCAGTGTCGACGACCAACGAAACAATTCATTTTGGGGATTTATTTAACATTAAATACCTAATGTACTTCGTGTCCTCACATATAATTTCACACATAAAAAGGAGAGTCAACAATTCAAACAAAGCTAGATGAAGAATCTTTGATTCACTGATCATTTAAAATTAGTGCTTAAAATCACAATTATTAGAAGTACTTGTTTTTCTATATCACAACCTAAGGTTTAAGAACTTGCGCCATCTTTGGATCTCATATGGCATCAACATTTTCATTTTCGCCTGCACTGGTTGTGGAACCTGATTGTTTACGAAATATAATTAAGTTAGCAAAAGAGAACAATTTGTTTCTTTCGGAAGAAACTTGCTGGTGCTTACTGGACTCGTGTCTATCGAAAATTCCTTTAAAGAAAATTTACCAACTTCTAGATGAATGTACGTTTGCCTGATTACATGTTTACTTTTATTTAGTATACAGTACTGAAGAATTAAGGTTTCCAGAAGGTAGCGAGTTCGCAGTTGAGTCCATACGTGCTAGATCTGTCAACAAAGTAATATCACATTTTGTATTCACAACCTCAGGGTATTGTTTTCTATTATGTAAAATGGGTTGGGTGGCCACCTGTGTTCAATACATGGGAACCAGAATCTAATCTTCATGGATGTGAAGATTTGATACAAAAATTTATTGAATCTTACGGTTCGACGATTGGAATGCTCCCGGTATGTGCTGTCGAGAATTAATCATTTTTTCAGCCTGATAATCAACCTGATAGAAAATCACAAGTTCAGGAAGTAATGGATCGGTTGAAGGAAGCTGTCAATACATCTGGGTCGCTACCATTATATCTACTTGAACGATTTTCTAGTCTCCAATCTGATCCTACTAATAGCCTTCGACCATACAAACCCCTACCCACCATAAATATCGAAAAGCTTTTTTCTTCACAAATATCACAAGGCATTATAGAATCTATTTCACTTAAGCGACCTCCCAGTGTCGCTGATCTCTTGCCAGTTTCTACCAAACGTATTCGACTTAGTCGGAAAGATAAACAAGTGTTAGATTCTGCTCTAAACGCTTTCCAACAAAAACTCAACACTGTATACTCAAATGAAGCGCCAATCACTGTGGAGAATTCTGTGGATTCTGAATGTGAGTCGCCATTCTTACGTAAAATTTTGTCTGGCAGTGTATTTTAATGAATTATTATAAAGCTAAATTCCTGTTTCCGTCTGACATTCACACTAAAATGTCTTGTAAAAAATGTATGTTCACTCTATGGACAAGCTAAAATTCATTTATTCAGTTCTTACTAAATTTATCAATCATAAACAAAGTAGGACCTGGCACAAGTATTAATTGAACCTAGTTACCATGCTTCTAATCAGCTTATGATTAGGATGTTAGGTAGGTCGAAATGACAGTATTTAATATATTAGTGGTTAAACTACCTGAAATACCTTTCGTATCGAGCAAGTGAGATTGGTGGATTATGGTTACAGGGTAGCGCTACAAACATACCATGGTCGTTCAAGTTTCCATGGTAAGGTTGTTACCACAACAGCTTTAATTCTCACACATGATATTGATACAGACTGGTTCTGAGACATTTTGTACATAGTGTATGAAATACAATCTAAAAATCCTTTTAATCTTGCTTAAGGAGTCTGTAAGACTACATTTCATTAGCACCATCAAATAGTGTTGATATGCTCTCAGTCAACAAAAATTCATGTAGGTTATTACTTAATTAACTTGACGAGGGGTTGATTACCTCTAAGATCGTGCTTTCAAAGAAATCAAACAAAAGGGGTGGACAGTGAGTCGAGGAATCCTGATGAATAGCTAAGGTTATCAATCCCGGTGACGGTTCTCCATAAGCTTTGATTTGTCCATCAGTATTCGATTTCGTACAGGGTTGATATATTTTGGTAGGTTTTTTAACTCCAGACACAACCACATTACCTCTCGATAGACAGAGTCAGATACTACCTTGCGATCAAGGAATACGACTAAAGTCAGATATCAGAGGTGTTTATATTCAAAAAGCTGCCGATCAATAGCTCATTAATGAAAGCTAGTAAAGGTAGTCGATCTTTTCCAACTCCCCCTAGGTGACCTTTCCGTGTCCACCAACCCGGTTAAAGCGCCGGATATTCGCTCTGTATACGCGTAGCCATGTGAGAGCATTTCGAGAGGGAGTGAACTCTCCACACTCTCGGCCGCACCGGGGCATTTGGGGGCGATCTTAAGGTTTAGAATTGTCTGTCCATATAAGCAACAGTGCAAGCAAATTAAAATCAGTGAGGTGAGTTAACTAGTGATATGAGTAGTTGTGGCTTACAGTTGACAACAGCCTGTGATATGGATTGCTACTTTTTCGGCAGACGGTCTCTAGGAGTCAAACACATGATAATGTTAGCTTATTAGAGTACTAATTGTCAGTAAGTCAGTCACAATGTAGAACTTCGTACGTTGTAATCTGTCAGAACCTAAGGGGGAACGAAGAAGAGACATCGTTTCCCCATGCTGATCTTACCTCACTTTGATAGATATCTTTAATCTAATGGCGTATAAATGTACCTGGTAGTTGGGATCCGATCGATTAGCACCACCCCTGCTCTGGAGCTTAGAGGGACACCAATGTTAGCCTAACCGAACGAAAATGCCACAGGATCCCTCAGATAACTTCACATGAAAAAAAGTTTTTCGAATCGAAAGGTGGAGCATCACATTTGTATTACTTCACTTGAGTCTTGAATTCGAACTTCATGTACAACGAATTACTGTTAAGTAGGGGACTTTATTGATAGATGCCCCCAAATGCCCCGGTACGGCCGAGAGTGGAGAAAGTCCTCTCTCCCTCTCCAAATGCTCTCACATGGCCAGCGAAAATATAGCCTCTTCCAGGGAAGTCCTACTCACCGCCTTCTCGTGGCGGGGGTGTTGTTTACGAAATTGAGAGGAAGAAAAGCGAATGTCCGGCGCTTTAACCGGGTTAGTGGACAAGGCGAGTCCACCTAGGGGAGTTGGAAACCCTGATTCCAAACCAATGGTGCACATGGACTCCAGTATCCTGAGGGAACAAATGGCGTATGAATCGATCGTTGATCACCGGATACCATGGGACTGCATCTCCTCACGGTGCTCCACTGCCTTGTGGATCAGATCTTTCGGTCAAAGGCTCGGGGTGTGGCCCCTCTAAGAAAACCACCTGCTTCAGTTTGGGCACCTAGGCAGTATCACAGCCCTCAAGCAAATCGAATGAGATTTGCATGGCGCATATGTATTTGGTGTTTCCTTGTACCAATATTTATGTGTTTAAATAAAATAAAAAATTATTGATAGATAAACTTCGAGGAGTTTAGGTAGATTTTAGATTTCCCTCAGTTGATATTCTTACAGCAAATACCCTACACAACAACAAAGTCGAAGGACTAAACGTCTGTTTCAAACATGTGATCAGAGTAGTACTCGATCGTTTCCCAATTTTTACATTTTGCAACTATCGTTTTTCAAAATTAGTAGTTCATTTATTCAAAGCAAAGGTCAGTAAGATGCAGTTGTAATACAATCACTTAGTGTTCCTGACTATCGCTTAACGGAACTTCATACAAATTAGTAGGATTTTCTGTGACTTCATGAAATCACATGTTTACTTTAGTCTTGAATATGTATTTATTTTGGAGTTGGAAACTCCCTAATCATACTGTTGGTACACAAGATCTAGTCATTTTTGTAGAATAAAGATAACACATATTAGACATTTTGTAGGTGAGGTTTACCTAACCATATTCAGTGACTAACAATTTAGATTTATAACAAACATTATTGAATTGTTGTGTAACAATGTAATTAGATTGCTAATTATTTGTAACCAAAGCCGTCATTAGGCGTATGACTCAACTTAAATATCTAGAAATCCTTTAGGTTTTATTCCTGATCTCTAAAAATTATTTTCACTTCAGGCCCACCAGTTGAATTCCAGCCGATTCCAGATTATTTGCCTGGACAAGATGTATTCTTACCAACTAAAGCTCCTATTGGGTGTGAATGTACAATGAACAATTTGGATCCGTCAGAGCTAGCCAAAATTCGTAAAGCAGATGGAAGCAATTCACCAGTTATATATCCTTGTTGGATCAATAAACGACGAAATTGTTGTGCTGTTCGTGCTGGTGCAGTTCCACCTTATGACAAACGGAAAAGACTCGTTGCCCCTCCTGGTCATCCTGTTTATGAATGTAACTCCTTGTACGTCCTTTCAACATTATTTATATAACTTGTGTATTCTAACTAATTTCTAACCAATTTTCATAGTTGATAAAAATTTATTTACCGATTACGATTTACTACTCACGCATTCATGGTCATAATAATCCCTTTGTTACCTGTATACAATTAATTAAAAAAAAAACTTGGAAATGTGTTGTTTTATCTCACTATCATTAACTTTCATATACACGCCTCTTGTCATTAAAAAAGCTTTCTGACTTGATTGTTTGTTTGATTAACCCTAGCAAAAATTGTTAATAATTGTAGCTACTAAATGATGAAATCATGTAGTAGGAGTTAGGAAAAAAATTGAATTGTAGTCAAACTTGCTTCATCTACGTTGGATTCAATCAAAAGTGTAAAAATTTGCCTGATTGACAGCGAGCGTTTTTACGTTTTATCATTGCTTGCTTCTAATTTAGTAGTTCGATTTTTGATTGAGAGTTATGTTTTTGATGGTATTCGTCTTGTTCAAGTGGCTATTAAATTTTAAATTTATTCATGAATAGTGTTTTCTTTATTTCATCAGATTTTATTCCAAGTAAGTATTTGGAAAATAAACTCACGTAGCTCACTATTTGGTGTTTTATAGGTTTATTGATAAACAACACTAACGTAATTTGTTATTGGATGTTGTCGTTAGTCTAGGCGCTTTCTCTATGTTACATAATTCTCCCCTAGTATTATGAACTGTTAATAAGCATTTTGTCCACCAGCGTTACAGATTGTTTGTTGGAAATGATTGGGTTCAGATAACTGTGTTGTGGTCGCTTTTTGTTTGGTAGTCGTTTAGTTAACTGTTTAGACTTCTTAACTTATCAAAGTATGCTGTTAACCATACTTCTGTACAGATGAAATGTAATAGCTGTCTACGTAAATAAAATTGACTTAACAGAATTTAAACTCATTTCGGCATTTAAAAGTTAAGTATATCCATTACGAAACGATATTCTACGCATATTTAAATGAGTTCTAAATAATTTATGACCCTAAAACCTAGTTGCTGGGTCACTAAAAACGTGTGTATAGCATTTTCGAGTTTTGTCGATGTAGTGTACTCACTTTTATTTATTAATCCATTTTCTAAGTGCAGATTTGTGTACTTGGCTTCGAGCCATACCCTAAGTGATAGGGCTTTTAATTCTGTCCATTTTCTGGAACCGGAGTAGATGGAGTGGGGTTTGAACCTGTTACTTATTGGCTGGGAATCAAATGACCTACCCACTGAACCACTACTCCATCAATTGTACTCATTTCAATCACATGAGCTATGTCGACTACTATGGGGGTATATTGTAGAGTTATCAACCGGAAAGGGACTATATCATTGTTACTAAGCTTTTTATAATTGATTTCTGAGGACCATTCTATGGAGTTGTGAAAATAAGGTATGCTATGGCTTTTTCATAACTGTATTCTTATTTATTCCTGTTCCTTTTAAAGCGTCCTTATTTGCTAATCATTAACTCATTATAAAAGTTTAAGTAATTTTATTCAATTCTTTCCGATTCTAGATGTCCATGCGATTCATCGTGTCCATTCCGTGTTGTTCAACTTGGACGAAAAGTTCCTTTGTGTGTCTTCCGTACGCGTGACCGAGGATGGGGTGTTAAAACAATGGTCCCCATTAGTAAAGGGACATATGTCGTTGAATACTTAGGAGAGGTAAGTAACATTCCTAGATTTCAAAAAGTTTGATGCCTTAAAATAATTCGTTGAGTAAAGTCATGTATACGTAGCTCTCATCTTAATGGTATATCGTTTTCTTTACTATTGGCTAGTCTGTTTTGGTGAACTGTTTCGTCACTGAATTAGTCTGATTTTAATGTGACAGATACATAGCAAGTCTATAATAAAGTCATCCTAGTGTATGACTTGCAGTTAATTTGCCAACGTTTTAAATCTATGCTTCTTCATTCGGTTTGAGAGACGAGGTACAACTGCTAGCCGTAGTAATTTATGTTAGACTTGTAGATACAAATCAACCAGTCAGTCATGAGTAGAACCTCGTACGTATGTACATCTGTTAAAGTTCCCATGCCCCGTTAGCACAGAGATTAAATTATCTGACCAAATTTTAGGGTACTAGAAGCAGTAAAAGTATTAGTGACGATTGAAAAGATTCAGCAACGAGAATACGATTTAAGTAAATATTAATTGATGAAATAAAGCGCCATAAATGTCATGAGGAATTCAAGAACTCGGAATTTCGATGAAGACAAAGAACTGTTGCACTTACATCATTGCAAATGATTTTGAACCATACCATCTGAAGTCTAGCCATTGGTTCCATTAGTCATGCGGACCCCCAAGTAAGTAGTCTGTACCTATTAACACGGCTAAGTTCACTTGTCTGTGGCCTCATGAAGTGATGCCATGTCTTGGTTTCCTCGCTCCTACCCTTCTTCCAGCCCACCCGTATACCAGAAAATATCGCCCGTCGAGATAGACGGTGGTTGGGCATAAGTAATGTAGGGGTCACCACGTCAGATTATGCATTTCCCGTTTGGGCGGGCAGCACACAAGCGACTGTCTGTTGGTATCTCGTCTAACAGAGCCTGTTCTGCTCTTAAACATAATACTATATCTACACCACCGACGTCACGGGAAGCGACCGTGTGGTCTTCAGATACTCGGAGGGTAAGTCCTGTCAGTTCTTTATATTAGCAAGGTGAGGTCAAACAAATGACCGTACTTGGATCTTGTATGCGCGTTCCAGAGATGCAGCATACATCGATGGTGTGAGATTCGGGAGCTCTAGTTGAAGAGGCCTGTTATCCTATCTGACACAAGATTTGAACATCGAAAGCTACAAAATGTGGTTTACAGCGTTGTTTTAGAAGACCAGGAACAACATTTTGTGAACTCAAATCATTGACGTTGGTGGCTTATGGTAGCAAAAATAGGCTTTAAGGATTAGTAGTGGCAATGGAAGAATAACTAGGAGATGAAGGAGGGATTCCATCGTCAACAAGATGATCTCGGGTGCTGTTAGAGGTATGACGGTGGTTGTCACTTGCCGGTTTCCCACACCATGGAAGTATGTTTATTCCTTAGGGGACCTGAAAATGAGCTGAATTAGTGGTGGCCTTAACGACTTGAGAGTGTAAACCCTAGAGCTCTGAGATCAAATGTTTGAGAGCGGTCGCTCTTTGCCTTTTTATGGAGAGGCTTTAATTTGTTAGCTCCGCACTTCAAACAGCCTTGCTGCCGGAGACGGAAATCCGTTGGGCAATGTGAGGTGTGACGTTCTAAGGGTCGACCTTTTATAACCTCTTCCGTTGTGAGAAGGAAAAGTCGCTCCAGATGCTAGCCGTCCGAGGCAAACACCTTACTGCTGTCACACCCCTCCACGGTTATCGGCACATCTCCATCGGATCCTAATCTTCTGCTTCTGGTCTTGCCGTTCTTGAACTGACCTTCGTAGCATGGTAGGACCTAAAATCATGTGTTTCAGCCAATATAGATTTGTTGAGTTATCACGATAGACAAGCACAACCACCACGTTAAGGTAGCAGCTGCGTTCTGGATGTAGATACAAACTTCTGATCAAAAAGCAAACTAGGTTGTTCTGAAAGTTTTGGAAAACTGATTATGTTCCAACATCTCAGAATAAAGCAGTTGCCTGGAAACTCCCGATGTAGTCTATACAAATATTGGGAAAGACGGCTACTGTCGAATAATTGCTAACTATTGAGTCATGTTATACTACGCAAACTGTGTGAAACCTATGAAAGACTGACTCGCAAGCTGGTTTTCGTTCAGATCGTTAATATATTAATTACGTCTTCACCCAATGACAAATCCAAAACACCTCTGAAAGGCGTAGGAGCATATTCCCGTAATATTTATATTGAACGACTGAATAAAGTGAAAAACGTCTATTTGGGCAACTATTTCGGTGCTAATGGTTGTTCAATCGATGAGACCAATTTGCGCGTAGTCAAGTTCAGAGTGTTTTATGCCAATCTGATCCAACCCTGACACCGTCATGATGTTAACTTGGCTGTAAGAGGTTGGGTTTACCGCACTTAAATAAGACCATTCTTACTCTATGCCCGTTAGACATGGAACCTTCGAGTTGAGGATGTTTGGCGACATTTTATATTTGACAGTCATTGTCTCCAAAAGACTGCTCTCATTCAGTGGCAATTAGATATTTCGTTTTCGATCGAATTATTTAGTCATTCATGCTAACTTCATATAACCAGTCGATTTGAACGTCTTAACATATGCGACTGGCTCCCACTGGTATGAAATGGAAGGTGAAAACAGCCAGTATAGCAGCAGGCTCTGAAGCAGTAGGCCTAAACATGCAGAAGGGAAAATGCAAGATACTCAAATACAAATAGGAGAACACCAACCCAGTCACTCTTGATGTAGAAGCTCTGGAATCTTTTACGTACCTGGAGAGCATCATCAATGAACGTGGGAGATCTGGTGCAGACATAAACGCGAGGATTGGCAAGACAAGGACCGCATTCCTACAGTTGGAGAACATATAGAACTCAAAAAAATGTCATCCAACATCAAAGTCAGTATCTTCATTACAAAAGAGTTCTACTGTACGGAACTGGAACTCACAGAACTACCACAACCATCATCAGAAAACTACGAGTATTTCTACAAAATTGTCTCCGCAATATACTCAATGTCCGTCAGTCGGATACCATCAGCAACAATTTCACTGTGGGAAAGAACAAACCAACTCCCATCTGTAGGGAAAATTAGGAAAAGACAATAGATGTGGATTGGACATAAATTGAGGAAATCACCAAAATGCATCACGAGGCAAGTGCTAACTTGGAATCCTGAATGGAAACGGAAAATTGGGAGGCCAAAGAACGAACTGTGCCGAGAATTGGAAGCATACATGGAAAGGACGAATAGCAACTGGAGAGGATTGCTTGGGACAGAGTTGGGTGGAGAAAGCTGGTGGGCGGCCTATGCCTCTCCACGAAGCGTAGTAGTAGTGTATACCTTGTCATCGAGTTAGACGTGGAGATATTTTGTGATCATTGTAAATAATGTGCTGCTGATAAATTCACGATCCTGTAATTAGGTTACGACACTTCGTCTATCCTAACTTTTAATAAAGCATTATGGTAACCAATACATAATCCATCGTTGTCTTCTGAGAAAAAATATTCTTATCTGGCCAGTTATCCCATATATATATTTGTTCATTGCATTTTGTAGGTGTGCTTGTCTCATGTGTGTCAGTCATCCATATTCCCATTTGTTTTATGTAACCCATACATCATTCATTACATTAATACCAGGTCATTCATTGACTTCTCTAGTTCTCCCTCTTCAGTCCACATGCATTTCTCTCCGTCTGTCTGTCAAAGAGACCGTAAGAAATAAAACATTTGTACCTTGACCTTTACAATACCGTTCCTAAAACCGTTTAGGTTGATAGAACATGTGACGACAAGTGAGATCTATATTTCTTTTATACCACTACCTGCTATTCACGCTGACAACACTAATGCATAAATACCGCAATGACCTTCACGACAGCATGTTAAACAAAGCGTCCTCCCATAAATAAATGTTGAGAGATTATTCCTTGTTCCTCAATTACAGAGTTGATATAAATTTGTAGATTCAATAGAAAGAAAGTCGAAAGTGTTTTGTTTAACTGTCATGTTAAAAGTAAAAATAGCTCTGAAGTCACTCTACTGGGATTGGTCGAAAACCATCCAATCAAATGTGACATAACTTTATTTTCAATTACATGAAAATAAATGTTGTTTTCGTTTTAACCAATCATCTGAAATGGCTATTTCAACTACAATGCTATCTCATTAATACAGCGAATGTTTAATAATCAACAGAATTTCAGATTACTATGCAGACCAAAAGATCACTTTTGTAACACATTATGCTCCGTGAATACCACTCAATACATATAAAAATGTCCCACTTTCTGACAGTTCTAGACGAAATTGCTTAAATAACTTCACTCAGTATATATATATATATATATATATATATATATATATATATATATATATATATATATGCGCATCGAATAAACCTATGGCACTCCTGTGACTAGGACTCATCTCGTTCAGGATATTTACTATGTCGAAATATTTTACACAAATGGCCCTTTTTATCTCATTGTTGATCGAATTCTCTGAATCAAGAGACTGTTACAACCTATCTGTTCATGGTCTATTATAAAGGATCTTGTGAATATCTCTGTTTATGATAGATTTCATCACTGCTGTTCATTTGTGTTTTCAAACAATTAATAATCACGTATGAGCTATTATTTAATGACTTATTGTTCGTTTTTGCAGATTCTTAATTTTGATGAAGCAGAAAAACGAGGAATAATTTACGATAAACAGACTATGACATATCTTTTCGATTTGGATTTCGAAGGTGATGCTCATTACACTGTAGATGCTTCTCAAATGGGTAATATATCACACTTTATTAATCATTCGGTAAGTGTTTTGTTTACAAGGAGGTAATTATTGTGGTGTTTCTTGGCATAATTTTCTCTTTGAAGTGTAACACGCTAGTGATAAATTGTTAAACATTGGATCGCTGAGTTGTTTTGTTATATATTCCCACTACATTCTTAACTTATCATTATCTGTCCACCATCACCTCTTGAAGGAGTGTCGTAAGGAACTTAAAACACTGCGTATATGTGCATAGGTCTAATTTGCTAAACAACATCAGCACAGCGAAATAAATTAATCAAGATCAATACCAAAGTCGTAGCATTATCAATGATTATTGAAATGATCAGGATAGAGAATATGATTCAAAAAGAAAGGATAAATTTGTGAAATAGAAAGTCCAAAATAATTTTTAGACTTAAAAATGGGGGTAGACAAAGAATGGATGAATGTGCGCCATTGAGATAAGTTTTCATGCATATTGAACAATGTTCCCAGCCATTGAGCTCTATTATCGTTAGGAACATGACCTATTAATCTACACATACTGATATCTCTCGGCCTAGGTGCTGTGTCTTGTTATTTGGGGTTCAGTATTGCCTACGATTTTACAGTTTTAGAAACGAAAACGATTAAGCTTCTCTAATACGATGAAACATTGAAGTAGGTCCCTGAAATCTGATTGAAGCTCAAGAAGCAATAGCTAATCTTAAACAAAGAAGAGCAGATGGTCCAGATGGATTGGCTCCAGAGGTCTTTAAATATGGTGGTCCAATTTTAGCGATTAGGTGGACTAATATTTTAGCCAAAATCTGAGAGACGGACGTAATCCCACCCGACTAGTCACAATCTCTGATTGTCCCAATATATAAGAAAGCATCAAAATCATCCAGTGATAACCATAGACACATTATAAGCAGAGATGGATAGTGGCCAGCAGTGGAATCCAGGACGCGCGTTTCGTCCTATTTGGGACTCGTCAGCTGGATGTACCTGCATCTCAGAGTTGATGTTCACTCTGGAACTCGAACCCAGTACCCTCGCTTCAAACGCCATCGCGTTATCCACTCGGCCACTGAGTCCTGATAGCCACTTGCTTGTGCGATGGGGTGAAGTTTGAATTCACTTGGTATTGTTTGTTTGGATCTTCCCATTGATGTGTTTAGGACTGCAACTGGTCAGTCTCTAATTGGCATATGTGCATACTGTGCGTATTGCCTCGATATACCTTAATTCACAAGCATGGTAAGCAGAGATGGATAGCAGTCCCAGAGTGAACATCAACTCTGAGATGCAGGTACATCCAGCTGACGAGTCCCAAATAGGACGAAACGCGCGTCCTGGATTCCACTGCTAGCCACTATCCATCTCTGCTTACCATGCTTGTGAATTAAGGTATATCGAGGCAATACGCACACTATGCACATATGCCAATTAGAGACTGACCAGTTGCAGTCCTAAACACATCAATGGGAAGATCCAAACAAACAATACTAAGTGAATTCATAGACACATTAGTTTGACTAATATAGAGTCTAAAATACTAGCCTCAATAATTATCGGGTGCCTAACTAAGACTCGTGAACCTCAAACACGAGAAAATCAGGCTGGCTTCAGACCTGGTCGTGGCTGTATCAACCACATGTTCACTATTCGTCAGGTTTTAGAACACAGGCATGCTTATCGGCGTCAGACAATGAGGGTTTTTCTTGACTTAAAAGCAGTATTTGGATCTGTAGACCAAGAGGTTCTATGGCAGGTTCTGAACAGTAGTTCGCTCTGTTCTACTCTACGGCTGCGAATCGTGGCTGTTAAGAGTAGAAGATACTCGCAAGCTACTAGTATTTGACCACAGATGTCTTAGATATATTGAAAACATCTGCTGGGATCATAGGGTAAGTAATAGTGAGGTTGGACGCAAGGTATTAGGTAATGATGGTAAGTCAGTTGATGGGGTTGTAAATCTTCAACGACTGAAATGGTTGGGCTAAGTAGTACTCATGCTCAACCACCGACTACCACGTCATGTTGACTAGTGTTGGAGACGGTTGGAAGAAAGTTAGTGGCGGCCAAACCAAAACGTGGCATCAGTCAACAAAGTCACTAACTTCTGGTCTGAGCCATATTGGTAGATGCAGACTACTGGGTTGAGGTCCGCGTGACTATCGTAACCAATGGTTGGAGACTGTGTGAAATGGCTCAGAATCGGTCAAAATGGCGTCGGTGTATACACTCTCTGTCTTCCCTTAAACTATGAGATTAAAATTGCTTCATATCTGTCTCTCTTCCTTCCTGTACCATATGCTTATATACAATCTTTCTTTTATATATCACCACTATTAAATTAACTACTTCTATGAATTCGGTGTTCATCTTGTTGTGCTAATGAGGTATGGCAACTTGGTCCTGTTGATTACCTCCAACCACCATCTTAGCACATGCCTAACCTTAATATTAGCCACTAGTTCATTCCTCTAAACTATCATAATGCTTCAAAGACATCTATGATCAAATACATGTAACCTACCAATAACCCATGCTTTTATAGACTGTTTTTCACGGCCGCAAATTGAGATATAGTGAAAGGGTGAGTTATATACTGGTTCTTTAATTGAAAGACAAACGTCTGACCGGCATCATAGGTTGGAGAGAGCTGCTTGAGATTTCTGAAACGGCGCAGAGATTTTATTGGAAACCAACCCACAGGAGCTGATGGAACTTCCAAGGTAGACGAACTGGTCAGTATGCTTAACTACTTACGTACCTGCTATTACTTTACGCGTTGACGCATACCTGTCGTAATACAACGTTTTTCATTTACGGAAAAAGAAACTCTTTCCAAGCATTTCTGGATTGTTTCGCAAGAAAGTCGAAAGACTAGATTTTATCAGCGTCTTTACCAAATAGAATTGTGTTATATGCATATTCAAAGTCGATTAGTTAATCTTATGATAGAAAATCAATCTTTGAGAAGTCGGAACAATGCGTTATCGCAAAATCTTATCTCTGACTCAGTTAAAGTGAATCGTTGTCAGCTCCAGACAACCACCCGATGTTCTTAATTCCGATGATAGTTTACTATAAGCTCTGATTTGACCAGCAGTGCTCGATTAGAGACCATCCACAGAATATGCCTTTCCATGACAGAGACAAGTATAAAACCTGTCAGTTGACAAAGTCAAATACTTCCTTAATCTCAAGAAATATTTTACTTATGCGTCAGTAGGCGTGTATAACTTCTGTAAATTGATGGAGGGTAGATTTCTGGCCAATTCATTCACTTCTAGGTCCTAAACCAGCTTGGTTTTTCAAAATTTGTTCTTTACGAGCTCTAGTTAAAGACTGACTATCAAGGCTAATATTTTAGATACTATGTTATTCAAACCGATTTCTGTGGTTGTCGCCAGGTTATTTTTGTTTTCATAAACCAGAATGATCAGCGATCGTAACCAGGTGGATTACGTCCAGTCCTCAAACTCTAGTCAATATCTCAGTCAACGTAAATGGTAAAACCAGACTACCATCCTTAAAAGCCTTCGATAGTAACTCATCGGGTATAGCTGGTCTCCTTCATATCAGATTATTTATTATCTTTCCAAGGTGGTTAAAAGTCGGTGGCTTATGTCCATTTCTTATTCGGATTGTTTGGAAGTAATGGGCAATTGGAGAGTATCTGCACACCAAATGATCCATCTTTTAAAGTATCTTTCCATTCTTTACAATTGTCTTCAGCAAGTGTACATTAAACTTCCGTATTTCTTGGAGGTAGTTTCACAAACACTCAATGTTGTAGTAACTATTCGTTTGATAAGTTAAGTCATTTATTCATTGTTATCGATCACCACTCCTTTTAAGCGTAAATAGATAAATAGATGTGCTACGATATGGTATAAGTTGGTAATATACAAATCCACAGAACGAACCATTGAATAGTAAAAAGATAATATATAAATTAAAAGTATTTAATTTTACGTACAATTAATCACTACATTTTGACCTTATTGTCCTGAACCATAACATAATTAAATATCCAAGTCAAAAAACGAAATATCACCTTGGCTGCGCACTAATTATTTCCAAATAGCTACATGATAGCAAAGTACCGATTGCTTAACGAAAAATGAATGGAAAGTATAAATACTCCATTATGACGGGTTTTGATTTGTTTCAGTTTCATTCTTTTGATATTTTTGCGTTCTCATAAATCGTAGACATGTATTAAACAATTTTCTTTATGCACCTCAGACCAAAGTACCACAATGCCTTTGTCTTATTGCAATGTGAAGCCTAACACATTTCAGTTTTTAACCGAACTAAGAAATTGAAATATATAATGATGGGTTATCAGAACTCCATAGGTATTTGCTGCTGAGCTAGAAGCGATTCGACTGTGAACAAGATTACCTCAACCAATGTATATGAATAAGAGCACTTATCGCTTCGCGGCTGACCATGCTGTTGTAAGATATTTCTTCTCTAGAGACCTGAAAAAGAAACATAGTAATTCCCGGATTCCACTGCTAGTCATTATCAATCTTTTCTTAGTAGTAAGGAATAGTATTGAGAACCTGAGAATATAACTGCAAGACTAAAGGGAAAACTGCTTGATGCTTTTCTGCTATGTTTGAAGCGATTACGAGTTCATTTAATCTGAGAACCTAACCTTATCTAACCGCTTCCCGCTAAGGAAAGTCTGCACTGCTGCATAATCTGGTTGCCTGAAAGTGGCACATTGCTGCCGTCACTCTTGTGTGGTTGATAGTACGATATCCTTTCCGGAGCTTGAGTTCGGCACCTTCAGTCTTATCACCGTCCAACCATCCAGCCTGTAATGGCCAGGCTAAAATTATTCGACATCGTCTGTCGGTTGTCATCATTTGTTGTGATGATTGTAGTCTTCAATTAATGTCAGTTTTTTATCCTATTTGTGCTACGCATGTTCAAAATTAGTGGATATGCTCAAGGTCTGTGTCGTTTGTATGGGTGCTTCTCAGTGAGTAACAGAGGCATCACGTTTTTAAAGATATGTTCCCATATGATTTGCTACGAGAATCATTAGCCACGCACTACATAAAAATCATTCAGCAAATACGCATCTGTCCGCTACTTTCGGCTGCAGCATGTTTGTTAAACCTATTGATACTATTTGGATTTCTAGGCCGAAATAGGGGAGGAGCTAGATTCGAACTTGCTACCCATTGGTCGCATTACATGAGGTATATAGTGTAGCGAGTCTTATATGATGCTTTCCAGACAGAGTATTAATGTTCAGTTTATTATGGTTGACATAAATTACTATTACCATATGATTTTCTCTCCCTTTTTAGTGTGATCCCAACCTCACAGTTCGTTGTGTTTTTATTGAGTGTCTCAATACAAAGTTACCCCGTATTGCGCTTTACGCGTCTAGATTTATAAGGAAAGGTGAAGAACTTACATTCGACTACAATATGACTGGTAACCAACTCCTTTATGATTTTTATATATAAATGCGTATTCGTTTCTCACAGTTTTGTTTTGTGCGACTAACGTAAATCTGCTAGTAATGAGCGTTTTGGATGGGATTAACAGGAAGCTTTTCAATCGAGTTTCTCGTTTTTTAATCATTGATGAGCAATGGGAATTCGTCACTAGGAATATATTTATGTTATTTTAGCAATATCAGGTGGTAAAATTCAACACTAAATTTATTTGCCCGAAACTATTGGAATCAATTCCTTGAAGAGTTTAATATCGGAACTCTTGAATAAATATCTTATCCAACATTGCTTGTACATCTTGCAGATGTGACCCAAGTCTCGTTTTTTGTTGATTTCTTTCATATGTGGTTATTTCTCAGGTAGCTTAGTTACAAGTCTCCATTCTTAAGCACAAGTAAGAACTAAAATGATAACTTTGTTTTGTCCTGAGACAAACTTTCGAATTGACATGTCATTGTACATCACTGTAGGACTTTTTTGTTTTCAGGTGCTGTGGCTGCAGACACCAGTGTAGTTACAGATGATGCTGGAGAGGCAGAAACTCCTTCAGAAACCCAATCAGGGTCATTACATAATGGCGGGAAGAGCCCCACCCCGTCTTCTTCCTCAGTTGACGTAACTCCTGACACAAGTAGTGAGGTAAGTGATTGTTTGCAAGTTAATTTTACAGATTTGTTCTAAAATATTTACTTCTGTATTGTATTTTCATCTCACACACTACTCCAACTCAATTGTCTTCGCTTGACTAGATGGCTTTTATTCTTTGAAGAATTGGCTTACACTGTGTCACGAAAAGTCAGTAGATCTAATTTTTCTACTCATTGGGATATTACAAATATTTTATTTTTATTTATAGATGGCTATTATTTTGTATCTGTCTCATCCCAGTTGCTTATGAAATGAATTTGTAATAGTGTAGCTTTATCTTGAACTAGTAATTTAACTCCAGTGTGAAGTACTTTGTTGGAACTGTTTCTCTAGATAAAGCTGTCTTTTTTTACAGAGGTTTTGAAAGTTGGATATTGTAAACAATGTATATTTGCTTGACATGTAGGAGTCGTTAAAACCAAACTGAACGAATTTTCTAAGGAGATTAACTGTTCCCATTACTTGTGATACCTTCATCACGGTTTTTCTAGTTGCTCATCCCATCATTGCACCTGATAATCAGTTAATTCTCTATCACATCGTCAAACTCATGTTTTCAATGGCTTTTTAGTGAATTTAGAACTCATTGTTTCAGCCAATCACAGTGGCCTTTAAAGTTTGTAATTTGATTGGTTAATTGGTTTCTCTCTCACTGCCCGTGTACGACAGACTTTAAACGGATTAGTCATATCAGCTCTAAGAATGAGTCATGTCCAAAGATGGAGACGCAGTTTATATGGTCTGATCTATGGATGGATAATAAACACAGATCATGCATGAATCTTGAAAAAGTTGATCAGTTGGAGGTGTTTGAATTCCTTCGATGTCATTTAAAGTTATGGTTGTATGGGATAGACTTTTAGTGACATATATATATATATATATATATATATATATATATATATATATATCAGGTTTAGATAGTATTTATTGTAGACCACGGTGTGGCTACTCGAAATTCTCCCGATTGACCAACTCCAGATATCCCAGTACGACCGCAATACTGTTCCCCAATCTCCAATATATCAGAACACAAGCTGTTAGATAGAAATTGTTTATGGGGTCAGAAGAAGTATCCTGATAATTTACAGACAAAGCATATTTATACAGTTAGGACGACCGTGAATATTGACCAATAGGGAACGACATGTGAAATATGTGAAAAGTCTGAAAACATGTGAAAACATACCATTTCACGTTCAAGATAGAATTAGACTTAACAGAATAATTTTTGGGATATTTTTATGGATATCCTAACACTGTTTCCCCCATGACTTTTGTTTATCTACACACTGCAAGCGAAGTTTTGGTACCAGGATCAACAGATCTTCGCAAATATTAGGTTGCACATGCCGATGGCAATAATACAATAAAAGTCTTATTATGTTTCAATAACTTGGCTATATCTGGAGTATTCAAAGACCTGTGACATGTATGTGTGCATTATGACGAATATTAAAGCTGGGTATTCAATTGAACATTTAATATACGCTTCTTTTTCTTTGTTGACCATATCTGTGTTGTTGCTTTGAAAAATGCTTAAGGTTTATGGGACCAGCTAACCATACCGTAGGATTTGGACAATACCCAGCACTAGAACCCAGTAAAGCACATTACCCATTCTATTTGAGACTCGTTGTGTGAATGTATCTCCATTATAGTGTTGGTTTTCAGAATGAAACTCGAGCCCGCTACTTCTTACTCTAAACACTAACACGTTATGTGCTGATCTACTGAGTCCTGATATCTGGTAGCTTGTGCAACATGCATTGATTTTATTTGGAAGGGTTTGTATTTCCTTGTTATTGACTCCAAGAACTAGAAATACGTCCGTCTGAAAAGTTCCCTATACGACGGGAAGTTCATTCTGGAATTCATTGATAGCCATTATTCAAACCTACCATTTATGTACAGTTTTTATTGTTTACTTTGAAAATAAATATTCGTTTCCTACAAAGTATCACTATCATACCACTAATTCCAAAATACTTTCACTTTGTTTACATATTTCAGGTATCTTTCGATAGCAAGTCTCTGGGATCTAAAGTAAGAGATTTTTATTTGATTAATCTGAAATGATTTATTATCTAAAAAATATTATTTATATCAGTTATCTTTGACAGGTTTGTGTCAATAATTCACATATACAGAACTCTCTCAACAACTAACCATTCAGCAAAGTATAAGCGTCATTATTACCAGTACTATTGTTCATACCTCTATTATTCTTTTACGTTTCAGACATTACTTAATGAAAGGGTGTTTTAAGACTCTCAGTAGTCTTTTCATTAAGAATGTCAGTGAGCTACGACGTAGGACCAGGCACATATATGCATCGGTCCAAGTTACCATACCTCATTAGCACAACAAGACGAACACCGAATTCATAGAAGTAGTTAATTTAATGGTGGTAATGTATAAATAAAAGGATATGGTAAAGAAAGAAAGACAGATATGAAGCAATTTTAATCTCATAGTTTAAGGGAAGACAGAGAGTGTATACACCGACGCCATTTTGACCGATTCTGAGCCATTTCACACAGTCTCCAACCATTGGTTACGATAGTCACGCGGACCTCAACCCAGTAGTCTGCATCTACCAATATGGCTCAGACCAGAAGTTAGTGACTTTGTTGACTGATGCCACGTTTTGGTTTGGCCGCCACTAACTTTCTTCCAACCGTCTCCAACACTAGTCAACATGACGTGGTAGTCGGTGGTTGAGCATGAGTACTACTTAGCCCAACCATTTCAGTCGTTGAAGATTTACAACCCCATCAACTGACTTACCATCATTACCTAATACCTTGCGTCCAACCTCACTATTACTTACCCTATGATCCCAGCAGATGTTTTCAATATATCTAAGACATCTGTGGTCAAATACTAGTAGCTTGCGAGTATCTTCTACTCTTAACAGCCACGATTCGCAGCCGTAGAGTAGAACAGAGCGAACTACTGTTCAGAACCTGCCATAGAACCTCTTGGTCTACAGATCCAAATACTGCTTTTAAGTCAAGAAAAACCCTCATTGTCTGACGCCGATAAGCATGCCTGTGTTCTAAAACCTGACGAATAGTGAACATGTGGTTGATACAGCCACGACCAGGTCTGAAGCCAGCCTGATTTTCTCGTGTTTGAGGTTCACGAGTCTTAGTTAGGCACCCGATAATTATTGAGGCTAGTATTTTAGACTCTATATTAGTCAAACTAATGTGTCTATGGTTATCACTGGATGATTTTGATGCTTTCTTATATATTGGGACAATCAGAGATTGTGACTAGTCGTGTGGGATTACGTCCGTCTCCCAGATTTTAGCTAAAATATTAGTCAACCTAATCGCTAAAATTGGACCACCATATTTCAAGACCTCTGGAGCCAATCCATCTGGACCAGCTGCTTTGCCTCGTCTCATATTAGCTATAGCTTTTTGATCTTCAATAAGCGTCGGGGGACCTACTTTAATGTTCCATTCAGACTGTTTGGGAATGGTGGGTAACTGTAAAGTAGCTAAAGTCCAGCTGAACGGCTCCCTAAAATGTTCCGCTCATCGTTCTAAACCTCTGGGCTGAGAGCAGATAGGGGTTCCGTCTTTTTCCGAGATCGTCTCACTTACACTTGACTTCTTAATTCCGGTTTCTTTTATTAGTCTGAATAGTAGTTGCCTACATCCGCTGCCTTTTCCATCTCTTTTGCTTTCGTTGCCCACCACTGCTCACGATCGTTCCTTAGACTTTTAGTTAACCTAGATCTGATTTGTTTTCGCTCTTCATAGTGTTCAGAGCCTGATGGGATGAGTTTACGAGAATCCATCAGTGCAATAGACTTGGAAGAAATCCATCGTTTTTTTGTAACCTTTTGGTTTAAATTACTAATAGATGTTGCTGTTGTTTCCACAGCTGTTCGTATATCTTCTCAAGTAACATCTGGGTCAACCTCATTTACAGAACTGCCTAGATGTGAAGTCAGTTGTTCCTGGAACTTACTTTTGGCTTCCTCATCCCTCCGTCAAATTCTAATGGGTCTTCTTAGTGTACTTCTTTTGCGTCCAGTGAGGCGCAGACAAATGCGTGCTCGTATTAGATTATGATCAGAGTCTAAACATGTATTCCAGAACTAGCAACAGTCTTCTATTAAGCCTCTCCAACGATGACTAAAGGCAATATTGTCTATTTGAGTCCATCGGCGGTTTGGTGCAGGTGTTCGCCATGTTAGGCGATGTCTCTCCTTATGCTTAAAATTAGTGTTTTGCTAAACATGAACGATTGTCTGAGCATAGTTGCAACAGGCGATCGCTATTATCGGTTCACTGAGCCGGAATACTAAAACACCCACCTAAATGTATTTCTGTTTGATTTAAGCTACCTACCTGGGCATTAAAGTCACCCGCTACGACTACTATGTCTGAGCGCTTAGCTTTCTGAAGAAGCTCAGAGTTTTCTGTAAAAGTCATCTTTTACTTCATCGTGGCTGCAGTCAGTGGGAGCGTAGGCAGAAGCGACGAAATGGCAACGACGTGTGTCCCTATCCTTCCGAGTTCTTACGGATCCATTTAGACGGACAGCACACAGGCGACTGTTAACAGGGATCCATTCTAATAGTGCTTGTTCTGCCCTTGTACTAAGTGCTATGTCTACACCTGCAAGTCCACGAGAACTAGCCAACGAGTCGCCAGATACACGGAGGGTGTATCTCGTCGGCTCTCCATTTACGCGACGTGAGGTCAAGTGAATGACCACCCTTGGATCCTGTATGGGTGTTTCGGAGACGCAGCATGCATCAGTGGTAGAGATTTTAGGCTTTAACCCAAGCAGGCCTGCCGGTTGATTTGACATAGTATGGGTATGTTGAAGGCTCCAATGTGTAGTTCGGAGCCAGGTTTCAGTAGACCTGGGACAGCGTTTCGCGCACTAGAATCGTTGGTCATGGTGACACTTGAGGAGAAAGCTGAAAGAGGAGGTTTAGTGTTGAATGTCAAGGTAGAAGGAATAGTAGGAATTGAAGAGGGAGATTGATTCTGAATGTAGTGATCTTGAGTGTTGTTAGAGGTTTGAGGGCGGTTTTCAGTTCCCAGTTGCCCACACAGTGGAAGGGTTCTTCTCATGGATATCCGTGGTATAAGGTGAGGTGTGTATTTTCAGGACCAACCTTTTCTAACCCCACCCTTCCTTGTCTGGAGAAAACACCTTACTTCCGTCAAACTTCTGTACAGTCAAAAGTATGACTTCTCCCTCAGACCTTGTGTTTGCTGCTTTTAGTCTTATCATTCTTCAACCGATTTGTCTGGCATGATAGGACCTTGGGGGACGGTTGTTCTAGTCAGTATAGCTCAATTGGTTCACCACGATAGGGAAGCCCGACTACGAGTGTCCGGCGCTCTAACCGGGTTGGTGGATGTGGCGGATCCACCTAGGGGAGTTGGAAAACCCTGATTCCAAACCAATGGTGAACATGGGCTCCAGTATCCTGAAGGAACGAATGGCGTATGAACCAACTGTTGGTCACCGGCTACCATAGGACTGCATCTCCTTACGATGCTCCACTGCCTTGTGGACTAGACTTTTAGGTCAAAGGCTCCGGGGTGTGGCCCCTCTAAGAAAACCACCTGCTTCAGTCTGGGCATCTGGGCAGTATCACAGCCCTCACACAAATCAAATGAGATTTGTGAGGCGCATATTTATCTGGTGCTTCCTTGTATCAATATTTATGTGTTTAAATAAATAAATAAATAAATAAGCCCGACTACCACGTCAAGGTAGGAGCAACAGTCTGGTTTAAACTGATGGCCAGAAACCGGATCAGAATGACTCCTTAGCACTTTGTAATCCCCTAGTATTACCGCTAATTGCATATTTTAAGCTACCCTTTAGAGTGTCTTCGAAAATTTCAGTATCAAGTATATGAAGATAACTATCTTTTGTTTCAATATATCAAGTAGGTAAATTATGTTACAAAATATCTAGCATATAATTTGGAAAATCTTGTGTTTGCAATCCATAGTGAACACTTAAGTCTAATTCTGCATTTTTGTCTGATTTACATAAAAAGTAAACCTTTATTGTCTTCCTTAAAAAAGAATCAGAGGAGCTTGTAATTTGTATGTCAGGTAGAAAAACACTGAACAACCGGGACAAATAACAAAGAGAAAATGTCTGTTAGGTTATTGGAACTAAAAAGCTAACTATTGGTTCAATGGATGTTCATATGTGACTGGTTCACGGAATACTGTATGCCAGAGGTTTCCATATTTGAATTTTGAATATATCCGTCTCCATGATGTTAAATTTGAAATATCACAGCCGTATCTCTTCTCGGTCCACTGATGTTCAGAGATCGTCCAAAGCTTTCTGCTGTGATGAGATTTTTTCCTTTCTGACAATAAAAAAACGTTTGTCATGAATTATTTAAATAAATTTGTTGTTGAATATTTTGCCACTTATTTCTTTTTCAGCTGAAAATCTCACTAAAAAATGAAATAGTTGATTTCATAATGGGTTTATGAACTTAAAATGTATGAATATAAAGATTAGGGTTGGTACAATATGTCAACAATAAACATTAAAATAAATGTAGTTTATAGATAAATTCACTTATCATCGGAATGAAAGAAATCGTTGATCTAATCCCGTTTGTTAATTTCTTTCTCTACTGAAGAGCGATTGCTCAGTAGTCAAAAGGTTTAACTTTCATCCGCTTGGTTGTAGGTTCGAACATCACTCTGCCTATAACACGTTTTTAGACAATCGTATAGTATCGATAGTTTAGAGACTTAGAGTTTAGCTGGAAACCAGTTATAATGTTCTGTACTTTGTAAATGAATTTTATATTTTTCCTTTGTTTTACGTTGTGTAAGCTTCGTTTGCCAATCGTTTTTTTGATGTGGTTTACACTTGATTTGTCTGTAAAAGAAGGATTTTTCGTGTCTAGGATTAGCTGTAGTTCATTGGTTTAGGTGTGTGGCTTGTAATCAAGTGGGTCACTGTCACTTCACTTCAACCGATTCAGTTTTGACAGCCAAAAAAAGTTTTTAAACGTTCACATACGGGTATATCTGGAATACAATGTAGATAGCTTTGGTAGATCATTGAGTTCCATCAGTTGTATTTAAGATTGCATTGACCCTTGAATGATAGGCTTTTGTATTTATGATTAGTAAAGTCGGATTTACTAGGTAGATTTATTGATGTTAATGATCAGCGATATTTATTAATTTAAAAACTGTTGTTTGAAATTTTATGCGAACGTTGTATCGTCATTCGGAAATGTAATTTTTTGTTTTTTGTTCATTTATCTGGAACACTGCATGGGGAATATCCGGTGTATTTGCTTCATAATATATTTTTGGAGTAATAGTGTCTAATTACTATGTTAAATTACGTGTTATACTAATTCTCGGATAAACTTGACAACGTCCAGGATCTTGTCAACTAAAGTAATACATTCATCTTGTGGCTGTATCAGATATACGGAAACTAATAGCTTTAGTGAGACTGTGATTTAGCGGTTAAAACACTGCCTCTAATCATTATTTCACAAATCCAAACTTCTGATTACCTACTTTAGCTTAAATAATCAAGTAGAATCACTGGACATCACATAATGCCTTAAAACGAGTACATAAACTTGTGCTTGGTGAGTTATAGAATAGCTTGCGCGTCGACATCATCCTAGTTTCAAAATTCTAGCATGTGTTATATGAATAACAATTTGAATCTGTCGCTTGATTAGCTATTTTAGATTAACTGTAATTACTTTGTAGGTATTCATAATGACTTCTCCTAGGCTCATTGTTTGGCTCTCAAATGTGTTAAGGGATTTGGACAATTACTACATCAAGAAACCAATGTACTAAATCTCATAATACATACCATAATATGTTGGTTATTGAAGTGGATTTTGACAATAGGGACAATATTATTGTTTACGTAGACATTTAAAGCTTCAGTTCTGTTAAAAGGTATTATAATGGTGGTTCCGTGTATACAGGAATGAATTCTCATAGCTTTTAGATGTTTCTGTTGTAGAAACAGAGATTCCTTACATCTTCATATTATTTTCCAAATATCATTTACTGGTTCTCATCTAAGTTACTTCAACGTTTCCTAAGTATTCTGAATTCTGAAGGTATTCACAAGTTAAATCAATCGTGAAATCTCATTTGTCGAAAAGTTCTTTAGTAACTTAGATCTTGTTTGAATTCCTTCGTTGTGATCGAATATCTAACCCTTGTCTTCAGTAACTTTTCTTTGTATCCGGCTCCAGATAGACGTAATTTTTGATGAAAAGCTCTGGGCACTCATTATATGTCTGCAAGTAGCTGTTCTATAAATTTATGCCCGATTCGACTGATATATCGAAATAAAACCTGACACTATGCATTCTGTTGGATAATGTTTGTTGTGATGTCGAGTCGGCTAATTATGAGACTTAAATCTAGAGAAATTCATGAAATACTTATGAATGGCAAAGACAGCATCGAAATTTCTTTGTGTTTGCTTACACTTACTGATTATTTTCTCATCATCGGTTTTAATGAAGTTTCAACTTCTACTCATTCGTGGTATAAATATCCTTATTTTACAGAATAAGATTTTGTCTCATGTCAGCAATTTTAGTAAATCTTGCAAAAATATGCTGATCACTAATTGAGATGGACCTTCAAGAATGCTTAATGTTTCACACATTGGGTAAGTAAGCTACTTTGTGATGTAGTAAGAAATCTGAATGTGTCCAAATAACCTTTTGGGACTTGAATTTCAGACGTCAGATAGGGATCACTCCTTTCAGCTAAACATCTAAAATTCTCCATATGTAGATGTCACCTTCGACCTACGGTATAAACACCTGCGATCAACTTCAAAACGGTGTCTAAAAATCTAGTAAATTTGTTGTTTGGATAACGAATCAACATCGTAAAATAAAACCCTTTGTAATATAAATTGTTGCATTGTACTAGATACTGACTTAAGTAGTTCACTCCTTTATCTATTCTCGAGTGATAGTTTTTGTTGATTGTTGTTACTAAATCTTATTTCCTCTATATTCACATCATCAAGTGTGATCGTGTTTCCTAGGAATACTGCCTTTGCTGACATCGAAACATTGAACAGACTAAAATCAGGAGTATATAATCCAACTACATGGAAATATGATTAAAAAAAATTGATGCTGGTATTTGTTAGGTTACTTAACAGTACTGTTAACCTTGTCTCCCACATTTTTGAAAAGGTAGTTCGTGGTGAATTGTTAAATGTCTCATCGTTTCTTAGTAATTGTCAACTTAGAGTCTCTGTTGATTGAAGCAAATCCCTATTAAGACAAAGTGCTACATCCTTTTGTAGAGTATCCACTTATATTGTATTGTTTGTATGCTCAATAGTTCCCGACCGTTGCTGCTACCTTAACGTGGTAGTCGGGCTTGCCTATCGTGGTGAACCGATTGAGCTATACTGGCTAGAACAATCGTTCCTCAAGGTCCTATCATGCCAGACAAGTCGGTTGAAGAACGATAAGACTAAAAGCAGCAAACACAAGGTCTGAGGGAGAAGTCACACTTCTGACTGTACAGAGGTGTGACGGAAGTAAGGTGTTTTCTCCAGACAACCAGCATGTCAGCGATGCTGCCTAGAAGGAAGGGTGGTGTTAGAAAAGGTTGGTCCTGAAAATACACACCTCACCTTATACCACGGATATCCGTCTCCGGTGGTAAGGTCTTAACAGGAGCCGAGCTAACACGGAAATTACTCACAAAAAGGTCATGTGTGATCGACCCCAAGCAGTTGTCCCTTGGGCACTGCGCTCATGCTCTCAGGTCACTAAGACTACCTCTAATCCAATTTCCTTTCCAGGTACCTTCAAAAGAACCCTTCCACTGTGTGGGCGACCGGGAAGTGATTACCGCCCTCGTACCTCTAACAGCACTGAAGATCACTGACTGAGTACTCGGTTCGTTGTGAAAACTGCCTTCACATGCAAAATCGCAAAATATACTATATCAATTAAAAACGAATTCTGAATAGGTAGCTATTTCAATGAACATGCCTTAAAGTTTCAATTGGCGGGTATTATTCATAAAACCGACCCAATTATTAATAATATAGTAACTGGTTGTTGACATTCAATATGTAAACGTTCCGCTATCTCATCAAATATTTGAGCCCAAGGTACTATAGATAATTGATGTGCCATTGAAAGCTGGATCATCAATGATGTCCGTTTACTGAATACTTCCTAAAGAATACTGTCAATTGGAGTATGAGTAACTATTTTAATTGATTAACAATTCTTATATCATGTATAGAGGTTCTTATGCCGACTAATTAATCTTTCTCAAGTTGTTTGGTCGTGTGCTTTTTTTCTGGACCCAAATGGTAAGTGTTTCTATGTGGTATTTAGTCGGGAGCAAAAGGAACAGTCTTTATTGTATTGTTCCTTGTCTTGTGCAAAAGGTTTTTAAGTATCAAAATAAATCTATAATACGATAGTCGATAAATTTGAATGGCGTGTAAAATATGAAATTTAGCTTGTTATTGTAGATAATTGCTGCATTAAGTGATTTCTTGGATCCATAAACCTTCAATGATAGTTAGATTTCCGAAAAGCGGAACTGAGTTCGATTATATCATTTTAAAACTACGAAGTTATTCTTAAATTTACTAACATTCTTTTAAACTTAGCCATATTAGGCTCATCTATTTGTTTTTCGTTCAACTCTCTTCCTTTGTTCACATGTATATATAAAGCTTTGTTTTCTCTTTCTTTGCTATAGGGTCCTCGTATGAAATGTTTATGTCGAAGTAAAAACTGTCGTGGATATTTAGTCAACTAGACATTTTTACTGACAGTTTATGAAGTACGGTAAAGCTGAAATACGGTCCACTTATAGTTATATACAATGTCAGTTTAACCACTCAGGCTTCGTGTATTTTTAACGAATCATTAGGAGTATTTGTGTTCAAGATTATATTTGATTCTTATTTTATACCTTTTGTAAATTATACTACTTTATATGGCAAATTATATACAAATATATGTAAAGATAGTTGGTACAGTTTGCAGATTAAATGTATACTTTGTGTCCTTTTGTTCATAAGTATTTTACAGTTTTTTATAGTAACAATAAATTTAGGGCAGTGAAAATGTTCAATTACTCTTCTAAATGCCCCTATACATCTCATTTGTTTTCATTTACTTTTATCCTGAGAAGGTAATATTTTGTTGTTAATATATTTACGATATATCTGTATTCAGTGTTAATTTTTCATATTATGTGGAATGATTTATCGAAAGATGTGTATGTAAGGATATAAAGAACTTCCGTCCTGTTTCTTATCATAAACGGTATAACCATACAGCTACATCCAATTATCTTAACATCTAACACTAATCGTAAATCAAACATTAAACAAATCATTTCGCCGATATGGAATATTCGGAGTTAAATAAAGTCACGTACATCCTAGTTTTAGTGGCCTACGGTTGGACCTTGTATTTTCAAAATGCTTTGGTGAATCTGCAGTTATCGACGTTTTGGTATCCATTTCACAGTTGTGATGTTGTATCTCAAATTTTCATAAGATTACCAGCCATCGCTTTTAGTTATAGGAAAATACTAAGTGAAGTAAGTTATTTAGGCAATTTCGTCTACAACAGTCAGAATGTGGGACATTTTTATATGTATTGAGTGGTATTCACGGAGCATAATGTGTTACAAAAGTGATCTTTTGGTCTGCATAGTAATCTGAAATTCTGTTGATTATTAAACATTTGCTGTATTAATGAGATGGCATTGTAGTTGAAATAGCCATTTCAGATGATTGGTTAAAACGAAAACAACATTTATTTTCATGTGATTGAAAATAAAGTTATGTCACATCTGATTGGATGGTTTTCGACCAATCCCAGTAGAGTGTCTGCGCCAACTTAGATTTGTGACTTCAGAATTATTTTCACTTTTAACATGACATTTAAACAAAACACTTTCGACTTTCTTTCTATTGAATCTACAAATTTATGTCAACTCTGTAATTGAGGAACAAGGAATAATCTCTCAACATTTATTTATGGGAGGACGCTTTGTTTAACATGCTGTCGTGAAGGTCATTGCAGTATTTATGCATTAGTATTGTCAGCGTGAATAGCAGGTGGTGGTATTAATGAAACATAGATCTCATTTATCGTCGCACATATTCTATTGACCTAAACGTACTTAGGAACGGTATTGTAAAGGTCAAGGTACAAATGTTTTATTTCGTACGGTCAGTTTGACAGACAGACGTAGAGAAATGCATGTGGACTGAAGAGGGAGAACTAGAGAAGTCAATGAATGACCTGGTATTAATGTAATGAATGATGTATGGGTTACATAAAACAAATGGGAATATGGATGACTCACACACATGAGAAAGCACACCTACAAAATGCAATGAACAAATATATATAAGACACCCGGCCAGATAAGAATAATATTTCTTTCTCAGAAGACAACGATGGATTATGTATTGGTTACCATAATGCTTTATTAAAAGTTAGGATAGACGAAGTGTCGTAACAAAATTACAGGATCGTGAATTTATCAGCAGCACATTATTTACGATGATAACAAAATATCTCCACGTCTAACGCGATGACAAGGTATACACTACTACTACCCTTCGTGGAGAGGCATAGGCCGCCCACCAGCTTTCTCCACCCAACTCTGTCCCAACCAATCCTCTCCAGTTGCTATTAATCCTTTTCATGTATGCTTCCAATTTTCGGCACAGTTCGTTCTTTGGCCTCCCAATTTTCCGTTTCCATTCAGGATTCCAAGTTAGCACGTTTTTCACTTTATTCAGTCGTTCAACATAAATATTCCGGGAATATGCTCCTACGCCTTTCAGAGGTGTTTTGGATTTGTCATTGGGTGAAGACGTAATTAATATATTAACGATCTGAACGAAAACCAGCTTGCGAGTCAGTCTTTCATAGGTTTCACACAGTTTGCGTAGTATAGCATGACCCAATATTTAGCAATTATTAGACAGTAGCCCCATTACAAATATTTGTATAGACTACATAGTGAGTTTTCAGAGGTGGTAATGAAAACTTCTTTATTCTGAGATGTTGGAACATACTCAATTTTCCATAACTTTCAAAACAACCTAGTTTGCTTTTTGATCAGAAGCAGCAGATTAGGATCCGATGGAGATGATGTGCCGATTACCGTGGAGGGTTGTGACAACAGTAAGGTGTTTGCCTCAGACAGCTAGCATCTGGAGCGACTTTTCCTTCTCACAACGGAAGAGGTTATAAATGGTCGACCCTTAGAACGTCACACCTCACATTGCCCAACGGATTTCCGTCTCCGGCAGCAAGGCTGTTTGAAGTGCAGAGCTAACAAATTAAAGCCTTTCCATAAAAAGGCAATGAGCGACCGGTCTCAAAAATTTGATCTCAGGGCTCTGAGGTATATGTTTCCAAGTTCTTAAGGCCATCTCTAATTCAGCTCATTTTCAGGTCCCCTGAGGAATAAACATACTTCCATGGTGTGGGAAACCGGCAAGTGACAACCACCGTCATACCTCTAACAGCACCCGAGATCATCTTGTTGACGATGGAATCCCTCCTTCGTCTCCTAGTTATTCTTCCATTCACAATACTGACTGTGTTAGTGGGATATACATTGGATTAAGCATGTTTTATGCATGATGGTGTTGCTGCGCGCTGATTGGTTAATTTTAAACCGATCAGCCCGGGCATATTATTGCAAAAAAATCTATAAGCTTCTTATGCATATACTATAAATATATGAACTATATTTAAACTTTTGATTGCTGATTGCGGATTTGCTGTTCACTTATCATTATTATTTGAATACAATTTCATTCCTGTTCAACGTGTTCTGATTTTGGGGTCTTGTCGAGTGTCATCGTATAAGAATACTAAGCAATAGGAATCGCTGGATCGTTTATATAGCAAAAACACAATTATAACAGACTGTAAGAGCCTATTTTCGTTACCATGAGCCACCAACGTCAATGATTTGAGTTCACAAAATTTTGTTCCTGGTCTTCTAAAACAACACTCTAAACCACATTTTGTGGCTTTCGATGTTCAAATCTTGTGTCAGGTGGGATAACAGGCCTCTTCAACTAGAGCTCCCGAATATCACGCCATCGATGTATGCTGCATCTCCGGAATGCGCATACAAGATCCAAGTACGGTCATTTGTTTGACCTCACCTTGCTAATATAAAGAACTGACAGGACTTACCCTCCGAGTATCTGAAGACCACACGGTCGCTTCCCGTGACGTCGGTGGTGTAGATATAGTATTACGTTTGAGAGCAGAACAGGATCTGTTAAACGGGATCCCAATAGATAGTGGCATGTGTGTTGCCCGCCTAAACGGGAAATTCTGTCTAGTGTTATGGCTTCCAGAGTCCACCCGGCGACGATATGAAATAGACCACGCTGCTGTCAACCATCATTGGAACGGCTTGACAGAAGACTGTTACATCTTTCAGAGCTTCTTTATCGAGTTTGGTTGAGTTGGTGTTCTACTGTTTGTGTTTAAGGATCTTGCTTTTTCTGATGTGTATGTTTAGGCCTACTGCTGCAGAGCCAGCTGACATACTGATTGTTTTGACCTGCACTTATTGGCGTGTATGGGATAAAAGATCCTGGTCATCTGTGAAATCCGAATCTTCCAGTTCATTCCGAACGAACCAATGTATTCCTTATTTCTTTTCAGAGGTCTTAATAATTCACTAGACCAACAGAAGAAAGAGGAAGAGGGAGAGTAAGCAATCTCGTTCGAATTTAGTCCTTTATGTGAATGGCTCTGCCATTTGTCCTCAATACACGACTTTGCAATGTAGTCCAGTGTCTTCATTCCATAAGGTTCTTCTGTCCACGCTACCAAACACATCTTCGTAGGCAGGGAATTGATGTATCGTGATAAGTCCCATTTAATTGATTGTTCAACAATGATCCGTAGTGTCAATATTTGGTTTGTGCACGACCAATTCCCACGGAATCCAATATAATGGTCTCAATGATGTGAGTGTACTCAATCATTTATACGGCACAGTAACATTGTTGAAAACTTTTCCTGGTACCGATAGTAATATGATGCACCTGCAGATGTGTCCCCACACCTGTTCAGATCTCCTTTTATTGGTATCTTGATAAGTTATTCTTCTCAACAGTCTGTAGGCATTTGTTCCTCCTCCTAACTCTTTCTGTACAGAACGTGAAGTATGTTTGCAGTTACTTCAATGTCTGACTTCAGTGCTTCAACTGGTATGTTGTTAGGCCGTGCTACTTTCTGACTCATGATTCACCTGATGGCCACGCCGATTTTTTCGATCGTTGGTGGAGTGACATCTATAGGAAGGTCTGTAAGTGTTGCTTCGATGTACGGTGGGTTCATTGGGGCTGGTGTTGCGGCTAAGTATTCCACATATTTTTGCTTATCAGCTCTAGTGTTCTTCTTCACTTGCTTACTGGCCTCTGTGTATTCAGTTTGTGTACTGACTTTCTTTGATGTTGTTAAGATGAAAATGTAGTCAACTTTTTTTGGATTCCAGTACTATGATAAAATGAAAGCGCTAAATTTCATGTGAGTCTTTAATATAAACCTTACAGACCCAACTTTTTCTAGTCGGTTAACTTTAGCTGACAGTGAATGAATTTATTGTCACATTGATGCAACACAAATGGTTATCCAGCAAGAAACCCACTTACTGCAGATAATTTAGTTGTTTTTAAATCTTGATTTATTTGTTTCATTTGAACAAATATGTGTTTAACATTTTGAAAATCTTATTCAAGTTTCGACAACTGA